AACCTGCGAACGGCACCTCGCGCGAGGACTTTGACCCAACAGAAATATTTTTCTCACAAACAAACACACACACAGTTGCTGCCTTGTCTCCATCACGTGGCCAACGGGGCCCGCCCAACCTCAGGCGCCCAGTACTGCGGACAATGGGGTACAAGTTGTTCCCAGCCTCGCTGCAATTGCTACCAGCAGGGATGCTGCACTCTCTCGCCTCGCAGACAGGTGTGCATTGAAAATTAAGGGCGCCCATGCTGCATACAATACCGAAAGCGCCGCCATCACCAGCGATTTACAACAAAAGGTCAACAGCGTGCACCGTGCTTCGCGCGCCAATCACAGGCGATACGAGATAGCCAGCCGTACCTCTGTCCGCAGCCTTTCACCACTCTTGGATCTTAACAGCGCGCAGTATCACACCGTCCTGGCTCGCCTACGAGGACGCGCACAGGCTGCCTTAGACTCTGCTGCTCGGCGCAGAAAAGCACTTTTGCAAGACATCAACTCACAACGCGCACGTGCATCGCAAGCGATACATGCCCAGTACGGTACCCAGCAGGCACGGGAGCGCCGACGCCTGCGTAACAGCGAACGTCGACTACAGCGTCAACAACAACGAGAGTTGCGTCTACTGCCTCAACGCCAAACGTATCCATTGCTGCCTGTACACCAGCTGTCTGAGGAGGTGGGCACATTATATCCAGACAGAACCACAATTGGACCAGTCAGCTTATCACACGCTGAGGCAGTTGCTGTGTCACAGCTGCGAGAATCTCCTGTCGACAACACAGCACCGCGAGTCATCTCCTCCGATGGCTCTTTGATTAACACTGGTCAAGAAGACGTAGCCATGGCCTTTGGGGTCGTTGATCGATCGCAGCCCGTGGTCAGGTGTGTGCAGGGCCGCACAGACGGCTACGCTTCTTCAGCAAAAGCAGAACTCATGGGTCTCCTAGCTGCCATCCTATCTGCACCACCAGACCAAAACATTATTGTGGAGCTCGACAACCAAGCGGTCGTGCAACAATACCAGCAGCTTGTGCGTTCCCGTGCGGACACGTTACCTCGTAAGCGGTTCCGTAGTACGTACTCTGGACACTGGGCAGCACTACACAAGATTGTCCAGGATCGGTCTGGGTCGGTGGAGGTGAGGTGGGTCCGTGGGCACAGCACCAACACTGGCAACAATATTGCAGACACTGTGGCGACAGCCGCCGTCCGAGTCGAGTCAATGCCCTGGTCGGTTGATTTAAGCGAGCAGCAAGACATCCGCTTTTTTGCACATTGCCACGATCATCTTGTGGAACATGATCTGCGGCAGCTACTCAAGCAGCAGACGACAATCAGGCGTCATCAGGCCTGGACAACCCAACGTCGTGTCAAGAGAGCGATACCAGATCTTGCCGACGTGGAGTGGCGGTCCACCCTTGCCCATGTCCACGGCAAGCGCTCTGTGCACACGTTCTTCAGCAGTGCTGCTGATACGTCCCAGAGGACACATCATATTAAGAAGCTGCATGGTATGCTGCCTACCCTGAATACCATGAAGGCTCGCCACCCGAGTCTATATCCTGACCGTGTCTGCTGCGTCTGCGATGTTCAGGACGAGGACAACCATTACCTGTGGACGTGCAGTGCTATTAGAGATGTCCACAAGGAGATCTGGCGCGAAGGGCTGCAGCAGATTGATAAGTGGGGACGAGCTGCAACGACCGCATACAACAAGAACAGCAAGAAGCAGCAAGAGCGTGATAGGATCCGCGCTGGAGCCGCCGCTGCTGCACCGAAACCCATTCGATGGGTTTGTCCTAACAACGAGACCCACATCCGAGGTCTATCCTGTATCGCCGGGACCCGATCAATGCTCAAAGGCGACGAGTATTATGACCGCTCTCCGGATCTGACCTGGAGCATCAGCGATTTATGCCGTGGCATCACACCCGTAAGCCTTATCAAGGAGTGGGGCAGTCTATTTACCTCGCCATCGTCGATTGCGCGCCAGGTCATTCACAAGTTCGTCGGCTTTATTGAGGAGAAAGCTACGGAGCTGATCTGGAAACCACGCTGCAAGGCCACCATTGCTCGAGAGCGAGAATGGGGGATCACAGCCAAGATGAAACGAACTCCATACAAGGGACCGAGAGGGGACTGGAGTGATGGGTATGGATACATTAGCGACGATGACCAATGTCCGTGTGGTGCATTACTCGCTGACCATGTAAACGGGAGCTGCCCTGGCCCCGTGCTTGACCCAGACGCAGCGGATCGGACGCTGCTGGATTGCCTGCAAGGGAGGAGGCGGTTGACAACCATGGAGGGGATGGGGAAGATACCCTTCTTGTAACAAGGTGTTTTCAGCTTTTAACACACTGATGAGGTGTGGCAATTGTTGCGCAGGCCCTAGGGGCAGGCCCGGGGAATGTGACCTGTCTTTTGGCGACTGTGGATCGGTTCCGCTTTGGTGGTGAGGACAGCGATAGTAGATCTTTGCTAGTTAGTCTGATAGATTCGCAGAGTCAATTGACTCGAGAGACAAGTTGTTATAAAAAAAAAAAAAAAAAAGGCCGTTTTTTTTGGCCTAGTTAGTCTGATAGATTCGCAGAGTCAATTGACTCGAGAGACAAGTTGTTATAAAAAAAAAAAAAAAAAAAAGCCGTTTTTTTTGGCCGTCTTTGACGCCTAAATGCTTTTCTGGTTGCTTAAGGTCTATATAGGCTTTGCTCCCTATATTATAGTGAAAAGTTTGGAAATAAGGCGAGAAAATGAGAAAAAAAAACCAGTAGAGACGCAAGCCGAATCACATATCGTGCATAGGAACGAAGTCTTCGCTTTATTGGTACGGATGCTGGGCGCAGCAATGAGAATGAATGATTACTGCCCCGTAGAATGTATGCATTGTAAAAAAACGTTCAAGTCGAATCCGCTGACTTTGTCGTGACCGGCTGGTCAACTGTGTCGCTGCCCTTTTTGGCGGTACAAAGCCCGTTTCGTGCAGGACACCAACTCTGTCTTTTCACTTCTCAACACTCTCAAGTAATCGGCCAAGGAAGCAAGGAAAATAAGAATGATGAATCTGGAATGGACACCACGCCTAGAAAAGGCGTTTCGAAAATTGAATGCGAAGCAGCGATCGTCGACGTTGTCGTTAAATGAGGATGAGACAAGGACAGCACAGGAGGTGGATTCGATGCTGGAGTTGAAAGACCCTGTCTATGTGAACCTTGACTTGGTCAGGAGGATGTCTGTATTATTGTTGAGGTACAGCGCAAGCGAGGTCGAGCAGGGCATCAGTAATGGTAAGCAACAGATAGAGTCTTTATGGACTGGGGCCGGCATCACTGACTTGGACACTTTCTAATACCACCTTGTCTTCGTATAGATGCGTCTGAGGATTGGATACATGCGATGATCAGGGGGAGTTCTGTATATGTACCCAAGCCGGCACCAAAAGAGCGAGTAAGCAGTAACTCGACAACGCCACTGACATCTTCGTCTGGAAATGAGCTTGTCAACTAATGCTACCTTCATTGTTTAGAGCCCTGAATTAGATCGTATCATGGAGGGTATTAAAGCCCAGGTTGCTGAAAAGGAATACCAACGCATGATCTCAAGTATTGACCCGAATGCCAGGGGATCAATAGCCAATAGTCTCCGACAGGATATGAAGGATATGAAGGATGTTAAGGCGCATGCCATCGGGATCATCAATGTTCTCTATACGGGCGCAGCTGTTTTCACTGCCGTGTTCATGATCTCGGCGCATTTCACAGAGGACCTGGGCATGGTATGTCTTTTCTTTTTTCCTTATCGAGGGCATAATGAACTGCCGCAACTGAAGAAAATACTTATGCGTCTCGCTGTATGCTCAATAGCGCGTGCTACTGGCATTTTTGGCATTTGTGCTCATCGTTGCCTGCGAGGCATATTTGTACTCGCGACATGCCTCCGTCGCGGATGCTCCGCTCAGAAAGAAGTTGCCAAGACTGCCAGACGATGTCGTAATTACAACCAGAACTTTTGTCAAGGAAAAGAGTTCGTAACCATCTCGTGCTCCTTCGTTTTCCATTTATCCAAGTTGTATATTATTTTTGCCAGCAAACAATAAAAAGGCCATTGGAGAACACATAGCTGTTCATTTATTTTTAACATTGACAATGTTACCGACTACGAGGACAATGTATGTGGAGTTCTCATGCCTCGTTCACTTCATATTGATCAAGCATATGGCTCCCTGGAGAGGGTCCATAGGCTTGTATGACCTCGTCCTCGGCGTTATCATCTATCCATTCTGTGCCAACCTCCGATTTCCGGACTCGCAGCGGCTGTGACCGACGGCGAATTCCTGATCGTATTCCGCCATTACGACCACCGCCATACCCATCTGATCCCTGACTCGTCGCAACATCAACCCCTGTGTCTGCATCCACTGTTCCTTCGCCAAAGTCGTAGTTGTTATAAACCTCGCTCCTCTCGAATTCTGACACTTCGTCCAGGTAATACTGTTGTTCCACCGAGGCATCTGTACTGTGAAGGTTGGGTGTCCAGTCGATCTGCTTGAATAGCTCCTCGTCCTCCCATCGACTGAAGTTGAAGGAACTCATGGAGCCACCGAATTCATCATCTGATGGCATCACCGCCGGAGTGTCCCAGCCAGACCCGTCGCCAGGTGTCTTCAAAAAGGGCACAGCTGCCGTTTCGTCAAAGTAGAAGTCGCTGTACTTAAACTGCGGCGGACTAAGCAAGGTTGGCTGTTTCCTGCCAAAAACCTCTGCCTCGAGCCATTCCTCGTAATTCTCCTCAAAGTCGGGATCCAGCTCAATGTCGTTCATGGTCAAATCTCGTCTCCGGTCTGAGCTCAAAGATGAACTACTGCTGTTGCTACTTCGGCTACTGTGATGGCTGCTAGCGCTTCGGACACTATCTTCGCCGTCAGATTTTGATCCGCCTGCTCCACTGCTACTCTGACTATGATGGTCAATGGCGCCGACTTCATGAATCGATCCATGGGCTTCGTACATCTCCTGCCAGTCATACTTGGGTCCCGAATACTGGTTCGTTCCGCCACTCTTTCCACCCTTCGCCTGTGCTCCTGGGTCCGACACCAATGCGTTTGGATGTACTCGATCGTGGTAGTGGCGAATCATGTTTCTCAGCTGCTGCTCCGCCGGTAGCGCGTCCTCCAGATCCTTCTCCACATCCGCGCCTGAGATCCAATCGTCTCTGAGATTTGACCGGCAATAGATATAGATACCCGTGATGACCTTCATATGGGACGATCGCCACTTTCGACCCAGGAAGGGCACCTGACTCTTGAGGGCTTTGTAGACATACTTCTGTAGATCTGGATGGTTGATTTTCAGAAGCCGCTTGAGAATCGCTGAGGATTTGTACTGGACTAAAAGTAAAATCCGGTGTGTCTTGTGCTTTGTCAGCTTTTGGAGGACGCGGAGCAAATTAATGATCGCAAACATATTGCGCCGGCAGACATAATTTGCTGGAAGAGGGTCGCCCAGATCCGCAACAGCGCCATTAAGGACTGCGAGTCGTGCCTGCTCAGGATTGGCCTCGGACCGCGTCGTACGAAGGATGGAACAAGTCTTGAAAAAGTTGTACTCCTCAATTTCATTCTTGGTGTGGATGTTCCCGGGATTCTCGGCGTTGCCAAAGATCTTGAGTAATAGAAGTAAGCAGTTGGAGTCGACAAGGAGCTGGCAAACATAGTTGAAGGCAAGGACATGATAAATCTTGAAATGTTGAAGTTGGAGTAGGAGAATGCTGGACACTGCCTTGGCCATGATCTCATGCTTGCGAATGTCGTTGACTCTTGTGAATGAGTCGACTGGTTCTTTGCCCTCTGTTTCCGCGTTCGATGATTCCTTTGAAGTTGATGTCCCACTGATCTTGATGCACACCAAAAGCGTCTTGAGCAGCGTCACTTGGATCTGAGCCATCCTCGGCACAATCTCTCTCTATGAATTCGAGTTGAGGGACGAGTAGAGTATATCTCAGCACTTGGAAAACTGGTCTGGTCAATAAAGCATTTGGATAAGATAACGACGTTCACTTACATATATGTGTTCAATGCGCTCGATTCGCTCCCGTTCCTTATCATTGACAGATGGTACCTTATCTCCTGCGGCCGATAGTTCGCCGTTCTGTCTTGGCTGATCGTCATCCGACTCATCCTCAACCTCTTCACTGGCATCATCCGCTTCATCATCACCTTGGTTACCGTTCCCACTTATACGGCGCATCAGACTCCTCCGTCTTGGTCGGGCCTTGCTCCGGATTGATGCCGGTTGCCTATACTCTAGTTCCCGTCCTGATTCCTGATCCTCCGCGTCATTGCTTGACTGATACCGCCTGTCCATCATAAGCTTCTTCTCTTGATATATCTGCAGGGTGGCCGTTGAAATATACATATTTTTTTCGAACAGCTCTTCCGCCTCAATAATCGATTTGGGGGTCGAGCTCGTCATGGAAGAGGATGGAAAGACAAAAGGTTGCATTCCCATATTCATACCCCCGGATCCATTGGACTGTCCTTTGCTGCTCTTTCCAGAAGGCCCGCTTCCAGTTAATGCCTTAAGCCCTTGCGCCCCACCAGCAGCGCTTCCTGCTACTGTCAATGGTTTTGCCTGCATTACATTGGCAATGGTCGAAATTGGAATCAAAGGGCATCCCGGACTGCGGGCCGAGTTCGCAGGTATGTAAGCGGGATACTTTTGACTCATCTCGGACTGATAGACGAGATAATCAAGTGGATCCGATTTTTGTGAGAAGTTGACTGGATTGAGTGGTGGGTTCCCTAATATCCTGCGGGCAATGCTTTTGAGGACGGGAAAGTCATCCGTGCCGCCAAGTGTCGTCCGCAACACTTTCCAAAGCAATAATAACATCTGCGACGAAAAAAAAAGAAAAGAAAAGAAAAGAAAAGAAAAGAAAAGAAAGAAGAAAAATAAGAAAAGGAAGGTGGAAAATGTTGCAGGCCAAATCGTTGCTCGCCGCTGATTATGCAGGCAGCTGGTAGAAATATACCTTCTTGAGCGGATAAAATTGGTCCTTGGCTGGACGCACGCAGATCTGGTCATAAAGGAACACGGTCAAGGATGGGTCCGTGGCGGCTAATGACATCGGTAGCACAGAGTACTTAGTTTAATATCTCGTCCAAAGAGCTACATCCAATTTGTACTGGTTTCTCGCCTCAGTACACGAACCTAGTTCTCCCATGAATTCGAAGTCGTCCTCATGCGAGATGACAAGCATGTAAAGCAGCGTCACCAGCGCTTCGATCTCTGTGGCGATCTCTGGTTCGCTCGCTAGCCTATTTTTATCACGAATATGGCAAGTAAGTCATCATCCTACACGTCCCGTTTCTACACCCCAAAGTTGCAACGCATCCTGACATACTTGGAACAGGCAATCCGCAACGCATCGTAGTACGTCTGAAACGCGCCTAGCTTTCGCAGCATCCTGTTGTTGGTCAGGATCCAGTCCAAATGGTCGTCTTCGTTTGACACCCCAGCATATGCGCCTAGATACACATTGGGAGAAGATCGTCTTGGGTCACTCTCATGTAGTCATATTGTCGATTACGCCATGTCTTATAACTTCACGCCGTTATTAGCCTACCCTGTGAGATATAGATGAGCTGCTGGGCAACAGACAGTCGACTCGTGTCGTCCTTTTGATCCAAGAAATTCAGTAGATATTCCGCGTACGCCTCGCGTTCAGATACTGTGCTCTTTTGCCAGTCTATACGGTGGAAAGCAGCGTAAGAAGGACAAGTCGATCACCTTCAGGGCGTCGAACATGACCCGATGATTGGCGCGACTATCCGTACCTGCGTCGTAGCTCTTTTGAAAGGCCTCCTGATTGTCACGGAACCGCTGCACCTCCAAATAGCAGTAAAACTCGTCGATCTCAGCAGATACCGTGTCCATGTCTGCGTATTGAAAGTGAACGGGCTCCAGCTGCATTAAAATTAATGTTAGAGACTGGGTTCGATTGGCACAACCGCTGACCGAAAAGCGTTGTCTTATACCTTTTGTTTCGAAGGCAGCGTGCTCACGAACTGCTTCAGCTGAGCCATGGTTATAGAATCCTGAGCCGGGTTATCCGCCATTGTCGAGACCGTGAATGTTGCTATTCCGTTCTTATTGCATGCGTGTCTTTTGGCAGTGCACCACAGTGATTCCTGGACAAGGGCACAAGGGCGCAAGGGCACAGGGTTGAGGTGAATGGGGGGAGGATGTTAGAAGCGAAAGGACGTGCTTGGCTGAATAGGTCAAATAAGCTATTCGAGGGGTGGACTGCGATACAACGTTACGGCATACTCAAGGGGGGCATCACAAGCAACCACGGCCGTTTGTGCCACTACAATCGCTCCCCCTCATCACGCGTCCAATCACCCCCGGGTCAGCAGGGATGCAGTCTTCCGACAACAACAACAATCACGTCTTTCTCGGCGTCGATGTTGGCTCTGGCTCCAGCAGGGCAGCTCTTATCACCGCTTCAGGCAAACTGCTCGCTATTTACTCCACCCCGTTTTCGACCTCGCGTCCGGCTCCAGACTACTTTGAGCAGTCCAGCGACGAAATTTGGGCCTCTATTTGCACCTCCGTGAAGGCAGCCTTCGCTCTATCTAAGGTCGATCTTACTCAAGTCAGAGGAATTGGATTCGATGCCACCTGCTCGTTGGTAGCGTACAGTGCCGGCACGCCTGATACGGCGCGACCAGTGTCCGTCTCGCCTAGTTCCAACTTTGAAGACGACAGCAGGAACATAATCATGTGGTGCGACCATCGCGCCAAGGACCAGGCCACTCGTATCACAGAGACCCACCATGACATCCTCAAGAATATCGGAGGGACTATGAGCCTAGAGATGGAGCTGCCAAAGACATTGTGGCTCAAGGAGAACATGCCAAAGGAGAGATGGCAGAATATCGGTCGCCTATTCGACTTACCTGACTTCTTGACATGGAAGGCCACGGGCGATTATTACCCCAGTCGATGCTCCGTGGTTTGCAAATGGTGCTACAAGGCTGGACCTGAGAGCGGCGAGTCTCCATCCCATATCGCGAACCAGGGTTGGCCCGGGGATTTCATGCGCCAGATTGGACTCGGGGAGATCGCGGACGACGATTTTCAAAAGTTATGTGGCGTTGGTAATGCGGGACAGCGAGTGCACTTTGCAGGCGAACATATCGGTGGGCTGACAAAGCGAGCAGCAGAAGAATTGGGCTTAGTCGAAGGAACTGCCGTTGGCGGTGCGGTGATCGATGCGTACGCAGGCGCCATTGGAACTTTGGGCGCACGACTGAAGGGCGTGCAGGCAACAGTGGATGAGGCACACAAGAGAATCTCTATGATTTGTGGTACTTCATCGTGCCATCTGGTCATGTCCAATAAACCGATTTTTGTTCCAGGTAAGAGGCAGGGTCCATTTTGAGGTATGCTAAGCGTTGTTTATGGTGCGATGGTACTAATGTAGTTTCGCTCTACAAAAAAATAGGAGTTTGGGGCCCTTTCCATGGAGTGATGCTGCCGGAAATGTGGGTTGCAGAGGGAGGACAATCGTCAACTGGCCAATTGATTGACTATATCACGAAAACGCACCCTGCTTACAATGAGGCTCTAAGGCAATCGCAATCGACGACCCCAGCCGTGTCCATTTATGAACACCTCAACCAACATCTGGAGGCCCTCGCCAAGAAACTGTTTTTGGGGAATGCTGCGTACCTCACCAGAAGATTACACATGACACCAGATCATCATGGAAACCGATCTCCGTTTGCGGACGAAACAATGAGGGGCTCTATCTCTGGACTGGATCTGAATAGTGACACCGTGGATGGGTTGGCTGTCCAATATCTGGCGACCATCCAGGCATTGGCGCTAGGCACACGACAGATCGTCGGCGCGCTTACTCGAGCCGGATACACTATTGAGACGATTTGCATCTCCGGTGGGCTATCGCTCAACAGGGTATTTGTTAAAGTGTTGGCGGATGTAATGCAGATGCCGGTTGTTCTTCCGGGAAGTGGTGGTGATGCTGCAGTCGTCATGGGCGCTGCCATCTGCGGTGCCGTGGCGTACGAATCCAAGCTGAGAGGTCCAGAGGCTGACATGGAGGGTATGTTGTGGAACGCTATGGCGCGTCTTACAGAGGCATCGGATGTTGTTGAGCCCGAAAGGGATCTTGCTCTGCAGCGCTTCTATGATAATAAGTTCCACGTCGTGCAGAAAATGCAAGAGGACCAGCGCGAGTACAATAAAATAATGATGCGGGGGCTGTGAACAGCACCTGTGCTCTGTCACCTTTTCACTTATTTGAATGCTGCCATGGAGGGATCGCATCTGCCCAAAAGCGACAAGTAGGAAGCTCTCTGCGCGCATGCTAATTCGTTGACATTTGTCATTCAGTAGACTGATGTCTGTTTTTTTTTTTCTTTTTCGATCAATAGCATCACAGCAGAGGTACCTTGCGAGCGGCCTTTTTTTTTTCATTTTGATGGCAATTATACGATGCACATGGTACGCTGACTATTGAAAACCGCACTACGTATTCTAGAGCAGCGATGCTGAACAGCATCGTCCAGCGGCAGCAGCGGCTTTACTGTTAGATGAAGAGCTCGATCGCAACGTCATTAAACGGCGACTGTCCTCAGATGCCTCTACGAACGAAAAAGACGCCAAAAAGTACTCATGTGTGTCTCAATTGCCTTGGTAATGCCTGCAGCGTGACATGAAGTTCTAATCAGAGCCCTTTACTATATGCGACGTAGGCCGCGAGAATCCGTGCCGTTGAGATACATTGATCCATCGATTCACCTCACAACGGTTCAGCGTGCCCCTGCCGCTCATAACATGGGATGCGTGTTCTTAGAGTCCTTGATCGGGGATGTAAGTGTTTGTAAGAGTCTTCGAGGAGCAACTTACAGCACTACTGAACGGCTATTTTAACCCACGATGCATGATCAATACCATATAGGCAGATTTGGAGTTTATGGTTCAGATCAACTACATGGTCGATATTGACTTCATAATGGCAAAGGTGCACGAGAGTATTCGCGATGAGCTTCGAACCATTGTGTACCACGGTTTGAGACTTACACAGGACAAACTGCTGGTAAGAAGCGAGCAAAACCACTTCTTTTGATGGATATCAGAGACGCACGAAACTCACATAGTAGCCGCTATCCTCTTCGATTTGGTATAGAGAATGGAGACAAACACGCGACTGAAGTATCCCAACATCACCTTGCACCGAGTTCCCGTTCCTGGAATTGGTAAGATTCTTTTTTTGCCAACATATTGCTTGTACTCTTGCCACATTGATACTGGGATTAAATATTTTGTGCTGTCACTCAGGCACGCACCACACGAAGGCTATGCTTTTGTTCTATCGGGATGGCGCGATGCAATTTGTCGTTCATACTGCTAACATGATTGAGCCTGATTGGAGGTACGGCCATTGTTGGATGCACTGCTGAGCTGAACCGTCATAGTTCGATAGTATGGCTTACTGTCTTTCCATGAATATAGAAACAAGACCCAGGCAGTGTTCACAACAGGCCGTCTCTCAAAGAAACCGCCGTCGTCTGCACTGCCAACTTGTGCATTCGAGCGAGATCTTTTGGAGTATCTACAGTGCTATCACAACTCTAATGGAATCGTTGGTCGAGTTTCACAGTATGACTTTACTGACGTTAGGGGTGTTCTTATCGGTTCGGTGCCTGGCAAGTTTACAGGGCTCACCAAGAACAAGTGGGGCCACTTGCGGTTACGTACCGTTCTGAGACAGCAGGTGGAGATCGCGAAAGAGCACGTTCTAGGGTCGAAGATTATATGCCAGGTAAGGCGATCCAATGTACTTTTGATTGATTGATCGTAAGAAGCATACATTTTTTCTGTGTCTGAGCTTGCCTGCATGCTGCTTCTGCAGATCTCCAGCGTAGGTTCATTGGGGAAGGAGTCGCAAGACTGGCTGCGTGGGGAGTTTGAGATGAGCTTGAACGCCCACCGTAACTCAAATTACATGGCATCGAGCAAGGGGGATTTTACAGTGATTTATCCCACGGCAGAAAACGTTCGAACCAGGTATCAGGCTCATGTGCATAAAAAATGTTTTACATTCATTAATTTCCCCACGAAAGCTACAACCGTGCACGAGCATTAATCACTAATGAATTTGGTCGTCGCACTTTGGAACGTCTAGTTACGATGGTTGGTCGATGGGCGGAAGTCTGCCATTTAGATCGACCAGCTATAATAAGCAGGCGCACTACATGAACCCATTACTGCACTCTTGGAGAGCCATCAAGAGCGGGCGTGAGAGATCCATGCCTCACATCAAAGTGTGCTTTCGAACGCTTTCCATGATGCTTGCTGTATCGAAGTATACCATCGATACATATTATTAACATTGCTTTCATCCACGTGCCTATAAAGACATTCACTAGGGTTACTAGCAAAGCCCATGGCGACTACATCTCATGGTTTCTCCTTACCAGCGCCAATCTCTCGAAACCTGCTTGGGGAACAATGAAGAATGATGTGTTTGCAATCCAGAGTTATGAACTCGGTGTCCTTGTCTTCCCTGGTTTATTTGAGGTCATTTTTCCCTTGCAGGCTTATGACGGAAAAAAGTCGCTCTTTCTTCATCTGCATTTTCTGACATCAAATATGTATCTTGTACTTCATTTAGGACTTGAATGAATCTGGCGAAAGCCTTCAGGTCTACATGATGAACGCCACAGTGGACGATCCGTATCCTGAGCCGCTCTCTCCACACCCCAGCAGCAGTGATCAAGGTGATCAAGGCGAAGAAAGTGACACAAATGATGACAGTAAATATACGCAGCACAGCATCGGTGTAGTACCTATTCGTTTGCCATATGATCTACCGCTTAAGAAATACGAGTTCCCAAGAGACCAGGTCTGGCTGATGGACAAGTATTTTCAGGGGATGGACGACTTTGGCAGCACACTGGATATGTGAACGACATAATAAAGTTGGGTTATTTATGCTTCAGGGTACAATGTAGTCAATTAGCAGAATGCATCATTCGTGGTACCCATAAGCCGTGATAATAGTGCCAAAAATGAGGCCACAGGGGGAAGCAGCAATGCAGGGGCCTGATGCCAATATCTGCTCCAAGCATAAATGGTACCATGTAGTCTACATCCATGCAGGGGCATGTTTCCAATGCATATCTTTCCGTTATCCATCGGATGCTGTGTATGCTGTGCAGTTGACATGTATTCAACCCCTCCTTTCCATCTGTCTATCTCTTATATTGCAAGGAGTAGAGACTTGCCCTTTCATCCCGTACTAGCGAGGATAAAATCTAGTATAAAAGCAAACGCGAAGGCGAGGGTGTCCCCACGTTCAAGTCCATTACCACGACAGCATTGGGACAAAATCACTTTTCCTATCATCTGCAAACTAAAAGCATGTGCCCCACTTTGCTCAAAATGCCCTCTCTCTTCTCTTCATTCAAATCCTTCTTTTGCCGCTCCCCTTCGCCCTCTGCACTCCGCTCACTTCCGCTCTCAAAGAAACACTTGAACTCTTGTTCCGAGAAATATCCTTCATTCGATCCGCCCTCGCATCGCCTTCCCTTCCCGAAACAAAATTCATTCGCGAACATGACCCTCCCTACCGACGCTCCTGCATCGACCTACACTGTCTTCGCCTCGGGCCCAGAAGGCGGATTCTTTGTCGAGAAGACACTTGAACTGCCAACACTTGGCAGGAACGATGGTAAGAACGACTGAAAGCCAAGAATATCTATGTATGATGTGATGTGCTGCCTTATCGCATTGCTCCTAACAGGCATAATCCTTCCCTATTTCCTACGCACAATCGCTTAGTCGCGATATCGATCATCTGCTGCAGTGTTTGCTACACCGACACCATGATTGCTACCCAGGCAGAGGGTCAAATCGCTGGCCATGAGTGCATTGGCCGCGTCGACTTCAAGGGCGAGGATGTGACCAATATTGAAATCGGAGACATTGTTGGTTTGGGCTACATCCGCTCTACTTGCCTTCAGTGCTCCTTCTGCCTCAGCGGACAGGAGCATATGTGCCCGAAAATAAAGACTTTTGTGGACGGCATCGGCGGATTCGCCAATGCGTCTATCTGGGATTCGAGATTCGTTTACAAGATTCCCGAATCGATCGAGCCACGACACGCGGGGCCGCTGACTTGTGCTGGTGCGTCGGTCTTTGGTGCGCTCTATGGCTATAATGTCAGTCCGACCTCGACCGTGGGTGTGGTCGGATTAGGCGGTTTGGGACACCTGGCTATCAAGTTTTCAAAGGCGTGGGGTTGCAAGGGTACGTTATTTTTTGTGGAAAATCATTCACCTTGTGGTTTTTCGCATGCACAGAACAGCTGCTGTGCTACATATTGCAGTCATACAAGTCTGTACAAACAGCCCCAAGATTTAAACAATAAGTGAGAGCCTTGTACTGACCTGCATTTTTTTTTTTCCAAATACTGTAGTTGTTGCAATATCGTCGACCCGTGAAAAGGAGCAAGATGCGTACGCTTTTGGTGCTCACGAATTCATTTACACAAAGGACCCTATTACGACCTCGACCAAGATGGACTACATCATCAACACAGTGGCAGGAGATCTTCCCTGGGGTGTCTTTGTGAATCTTCTAGAGTCAAATGGAACTCTGATCAACATGGGTGTTTGCCCAAAGGATACTATGGAGATTCCTTACATCCCAGTTCTATTCAAACAGTGTAGGGTATCCCTTTTTCTTACAGCAGTGATTCACCGCTCGTCCTCTTTTGTTTGTATTTGCCTCTATAGAGATGGCTCGCTAAAGCGTATCGTATTATCGTGTTTTTTTTTCTGTGTGCGTAGTAAGGGTCGTGGGTTCGCTTGTCGCGCCCCGCCATGTGGTGAAGAAGATGTTCGACTTTGCCGCATTACACAATATCAGGCCTGAGATCGAGGAACTTGAGATGAGTACCAAGGTAAGCTCATCGATTAATAGATCGCTCCATTGTCAGTGTGCCTCTTCTAGGCTATCGATTAATCTCTCTCTTTTCTTTCACGCCGCGTCGCATTTGGTAGGGCTGTCGCGAAGCATGCCGACGTGTCATCGAGCAGCGGGCACGATACCGCGTGGTTCTCAACGTTCCTGAGCGATTGGCCCTCTAATATGTAGTGCTACAGTTCATCATCATACCCAACAGCGAAGCAAGCAAGTATTCTGTGTTTTGTCACTACTTGCATGTCCCTTTTTAAGAAAGACAGAACCAGGTGAGCGCAGAAAGCAGGAAATAAAGTTAACGAGGAGAGAGCTCCGAGGTAGTGTTCTTATGCGCTGTAGGCTCCTCCCTTCAGGGCTATGGTTCTGTCAGGATATGTGGCGATTACTTCCTTGGTAGATTTTAGCGGCCAGGCCACATAGCGGGTACCATCAGCGCACTCGGCCCAGATGACATAGCTCTTTTCTACCCATATGCAGCAGAAGTTTGAGGCCATTCTGTGGTATTTTGGGCACTGCGGGTGTCTCTAGCATCTCTAGCATGGGCATTTTTGCTGATTGGCATGGCAGCCCCTATCAACCCTTGCTTTCCAAAAGAGTGACTGTATACGCTACACTTATTCCAGGTGCTAAAGGACCATTTTTGACTGAGGGAGCTGAAGCCGGGGTCTTATTAGGGGAAGCAGGAGGAATCGCGATAGGGACATCTGGGGTATCGACAGTGGATGCTGCAGGCGCGGCGGGAGTTGAGATCGAGAGAGTTACAGACGTTGGAGCACTGTTACAAGGGAAACAGATTGTGGCGAGGATCGAGAGGACGAATTCAGCGGGATCAACTTTGTTAGGCTTTGGCAGCATTCACAGGGGCGGCATCGACACAGCTGAAGACAGCAGCTAAGAGCGAGGAAGGCATACAGAACGCCTTGAGTTACATTTTATGATAGGGGTACCGAGAAAAAAGCGTTGTTAGTTGTCAATGTTCGATTTGGAGTGCTGAACTGTTAGTTCACCCTAGCCAGGGTCCGTGCGGAAGCAACATTAATCCCGTTTACAATTCATTACAGCTTTAATAAGGTCTAGACTTCTTCTCTGACGCGAAAGCAGTTAAAGGGGTGCATTCCGCACCTTTTGCAGGGCCGTGATGCATGATTAGCAGCGTTGAAACGGGATCATAACATGGATCTTCGAAGCAGAGTATAGAATAGGTATGTTTGTCCAAGTCAGCCCTAAGCGCGAAGATTCGTGGGCATTTTCGTACAGAGTACAAGATTCGCTTGCTGCCAGGCTTTCTAGCTTGCATCATTAAGCGTCCTGCTCAGTGTGCACTCCCTTCAAATGTTGGTCCACACAGGTTCTGCCTTGGGTAAACGAACATTATTGTAATTAAAGCTATCGGCAAAATCGACTACCTAGTATTAAAACAGAGAATCAGCAGATACGTCTACAGGAATAATAGTGCTCATTAATCTCTCATCGGCGAAGAAACCGCCGTGTAAGTGACCGACGACGGAGCCGGTGAGGCCTCCGAGTCATCGCTCTCGCCATCATCTCCCTCCCCACCACTTTCATCTCCTGCTATCGTACGATCATGGCCCATCGTTTCTGACCCTGCGTAGTCCACCCTATTACCGCCATGACCGCCCGACGCTGCCGCCGCAGCTCTCGCTATCTCCTCCTTCCTCTCCTTGTGTACCATGCTCTGATGACGCCTCATCGTACTGATAGAATCGTACGCCTTCGTACACCCGTCGATCCCGCAAACAATCATCTGCGTTACATGGCGGGTTTCGTGTCGCTTCAGATGGAACTTATCCATGAAAGATTTGCCACAGCCCTCAAACGAACATGGGTACATCCTCGGTCTTGTCGGGATAGGCCGAGGTCGAGGAGTCGGCGCAGGTGTCGATCGTGCGCTGGAATCACCTGCGTCATCATCTCCTCCTACTCCAACATTACTTCCTCCTCCTATTGAGGATCCATGGCCTACTCGTTTCCGCTTTGCTTCCGATGGCGTTATTGAGGGGGCTGGAGAAGAGGCCGTAATGCCACCAGGGTCCATATTATCATCATAGGCAGCGGGAGCACCAGGAGAATCCGCAGGACCTTGTTTTCGGAACGTGCGCTTCGTCTTCTTTTTCATCAGGGGCGATGATGGTGGCACTGGTGAGTTCTCTCGGCTCTCGGGCGTTGTTCCGCGTTCAGGTGTGTCGAAGCCATAACTGGTATCCATCTGGTTTAAAACCGCCATGCGCGCTAAACTGGTCGCTGTGGCGGAAGTCGAACTGGGGATGGATGACGAAGTCGGCATAGGATACGAGCGCTGGATAAAGTACGGGCGTGGCTCATTCAGCAGCATCTCCTGATCTATACAGCGATAGCATCATTGCAAATGTAAAATCCAGTAATTAGTAGATGTTCGAGTTTGCAACACTGCATCAATGTAAAATTGACAAGAAGCTCCCATTGATTTTTTTTGTACCTGATGTCCACAGAGGGATAGATATCTCTCCTCCGAGGGTCTGGACCACTGTGCCGGATCGAGTCCATTTCCTGGCCTTTTGATTCTTGTTAATAGCAAACGCTGATGATGGTTTCGTTACTGGGGGATCAGCCATGATCCGCGCCGAATTTCCTCCTCCAGAACCGCTTGGTGTCGCTGCGGATGTCCCCTTGTGCTGTTTCTTTTGTCGAGCCGCGTTCCCTGGATTGCTGGAGGATGTCCGCTTGCCGATTGAAACGTTCGCTGATTCCGGTGTATCATCCATATTAGCTTCAGAGTGCACCTGATCCATAATGGCTTCTGCGATCGACAACTGCGAGACATCCTTATCTAAGTTCCATTAAAATTACAAAATCTCTGTGCTTAATTTGCATGCCATTGATGGTTGATGTAAAATTCGCCGAGATCCAGGCAGCGTACCTTCCACAGCGTCTACTGATTCAATATCGACGTTTTCATCAAGCGCTGATTCTGTTTCCTTTGAGTCGAACGTAAGAAGTTTGGCGGTTGAAATGCGGATGCTTGTAACAGAACTACGCAGAGGACTCGGCTTAATTGTGTCTGAAGATCCAGCGCCAGTCTTAAGTTTTTTACTAGGTGGCGGTACATCTCCTGATCTCTTGCCGCCTGACGAAGCTTGCGATGAAAAGGCCGTTACCGACTTGGCACCATTAGTGTTATTATTGCTATTGTCGCCACCGCCTCGTGTTGTATGACCGTTTGAAGACCTGGGTGCTGATGTCGTTGCAGCAGTTACGCCTACCACCTTTCTCCCTCGATGTGGTCCTTCCGCTGCTGTTGCCTTCTTGCTCTGATGATCCGAGCCCTTCTTCGTTTCTGTTGCTGGGGTGGACATTGGCAGCACAGCAGTGGCTAATCCTGCTCCACTGGTACTGTCATATGCTTCTGTGAGCTCGTCGTTGTCGTATAAACAGATCACGTCCGGTCCTGCCTTGACACAGCTCGAGCAAATTGGTTTCGACCTATCGCATTTCGTCTTCTTGACACGACACCGTGCACAAGGGCGATACACCCCTGGTCGAGGACCGAGGGGTCCCCGTGCACCGCCATTCGAGCGAGCCGTGGAGGACTGAGTTGTTGAGATATTATCGCTGTCTGTGTTGGTATCCATGATCGCGGCTGTTGCGGGCATTGCACTCGTTGTGGAGGAGTGTGTCGAATGTGAGACAGCCGCCAATCCAGTCAGATCGCCAGAACGTGTCCTGCTTGTGCGCGTCATTCCCGGACGATCTCTAATAAAAAATGATCATAATGATGCTTTGTTAGCTGCGAAAGTAAAATCAATTACAGAAAAAAGCAAGACGGATAGACATCTTCTTGTTGGATACAGCGTGGCATTCATCGTCCATGGTCCTCCTAGCTAAACCAACCTCGTGGATGGATGATCGTCGGTCGTATGCGCATTTGGGTCTGGGCTCGTTGCGACCGTACCCTCCCCTGACCCGTTTGAGACCGCCGTTGGATCTCCAGACATCCTTTTGGCGTCGCGTATCACTATGAGCTATACTGTGTTTTTTCGTTCCTGTAGGATGTGTCCCGTGAGGCATATATCACACCGCTTCAGAGATCAGAGCGAGAAAAGTGATGGAATATTGGGACCCCTGATCGAGTAGTGTTGGATGAACAAGGGTCAACAGATCCCAATTACAAAGGATCTGATCGTGCACAGCAAGCTGCTTTAGGAGGAGGAGGAGGAGGAGGAGGAAGAGGGGAGGAAGGGAAGTATATATGTAGACTATGTGTATTATTGCAAGGTGCGAATCGCAGTGTTGCGGGGCGACAATCAAAAAGATGAAGTGGTTTAATGGTTGCAGTCGCTTGTCCTCTTTATTTTTTTTTTTTTTTGTGGTTGTGTATCTTATGTTACGTTGTTTGTGTGTATGCAGGCTTGACGTGCTTCCCGTCCACCGACGGTCTATGGTTGGAATGAATGAATCGGGAGGCGCATGGTTCAGCAAACTACAGTGCAGTCGCCCTCATTCGGACAAACACAGCCAGAAATAAAAATTGAGCACTATTTGACTGTTTCCCTTGAATGAGGTAACTTGCTGTAAGAAACGGAGGATTAATCAGTCCTTCGGAATCAGTGAATGAAGATGGGTGCGGCAAAGGGATGATGCTGATGGAGGAACAGGACCTCTTGCACAGCACGGAACGCGAAACGGACGCAAGAAAAAAAAAAAAGAAAAAAAGAAAGCGACGCCGTAAGTGAAACGTGCAAGACGCACCCGTATTGGTCGCCACCAAAATGCTCTGTTTCGCGTTTCAGATACGCGTCGCCCTTCAGCACTTCTGTCTGGTTAACGAAAATACCATGGTCGTTCCACCCCTCAGATGAACACAACGATGAGTGAGTACGCACCTCATCAGAATGAACTGATCTTCTCCTCGGAAGACAGTTGAGCTAGGTCACGTTCTTGTAAGCCCACGATCAGCATCCCTCATGTGTATGGATACCGCGGATCTCTGGGTCCCAATGAAGCACAGAGAAGTGCCAAAAGAAACGATGCTAATAAATCAACCCAACTTCACGTTTATTGTCTCTATGGTTTTATTCCATTCACAACCGACAAATTATGTATGTACATACATTTTAATTCTTTTTCGTTCCTTTTTACAACTTGGCCTCGGTGACAACCATGCTCGCCAAACGGCCCTTGATCGTGTCCTCAGCTTCCTGGACCATCCTCTTGACGAGAACCTCGCATGTGGGGATGTCCTTGATCAAACCCACAATCTGACCAGCGGTCCAAATACCATGGTCGGGGTCACCGTTCTCATAGACGAGCTTTCCACGCTGGCCCGAGACCAAAGGAGCGACTTCCGTGAACTCGGCTCCACCGGGCTTGCGCTCGATGGCAATGACTTCATTAGCAACCTTGTTGCGAAACACACGGGCAGTGTTGTGGAGAGTACGGAAGATCAAAGAGGTATCGCGCTCGCTCGCCTTGACCATCTGTTCCTTGATGTTGTTGTGGATGGGTGCCTCCTGCGTGCACAAGAAACGAGTACCCATGTTGATACCCTATTAGAGCGAGCAAGTGATAGCAACTCAAGGAGTGTTAGAACCGTTGTTTCGTCTTGCCAATAATTGGATTAGAAGCGGGGATTTGGTTCTTGCCTCAGCACCAAGGGCAAGGGCAGCGGCAAGACCGGTGCCGTCGCCGAATCCACCAGAAGCGATGAAAGGAATTTTGAGAGCCTTGGCAGCCAAGGGCAACAGGATCAATCCAGTGACATCGTCCTCACCAGGGTGACCAGCACACTATCGATCCAGAGTAAAGAAATTGTTAGAACTCTTGGCTTTTTGAGCCGTGGGCATCGCAATCGGAACCATTGTAAGCAAGATATCAAATCATATACCTCAAAGCCATCAATGCTGAGCATGTCAGCTCCAAGACGCTGGGCAGTCAAGGCATGGCGGATCGACGTGCACTTGTGGATGACGAAAATACCGGCCTTCTTAAACTTTTGGATGTGCTCGCCGGCTATTTTATCCCATGGAAAAGAGGAGGAAGAGAGAGCAGATCAATAAAAAAAGACCAGTGTGGTAAAATAGATGAACAATTCACATGTGATAGAGCTAACTTTAAAACGTACGATTGTTTCCAGCAGTCTCGACAACCGTGATTCCTTCCTGGATAATGACATCGCCGTACTCAGCATAAGGGGGAGGGGTCATGGCAGGCAACAAAGTCAGGTTGACACCGAAGGGCTTGCTGGTCATGGTGCGGCAGCGACGAATCTCGTTGCGGAGGTGCTCAGGGGTGGGCTGCGTCAACGCGGTCAAGATTCCGAGACCGCCAGCGTTCGAGACTGCAGAGGCAAGCTCGGCAGTTCCGACCTATTCAGGTACCAAAAGAACACGCAAGGTTAGGACGGAATGCTATGTATCGTGTGTTGCTTGCTACACGAAGATAGTGATAGCATAAGAAAAGGGTGGCGTCGAACTGCAAGGTGAACAATGGTAGTGACTGAGAGTCGACAAGGGCCAGCTGTCAGTGATAAGAGTGGTGCTGGGCCAGCAGATTGTTTGGATCCGTCCACGGAGCGCGAGGTGAAACGAGGCAAAGCGAGCCCCTGCTGGAATAAACAAAAAAAACACAGCACGCAAAAGATCGAAGCCGAGTTACAGGCAGCCATGGCCAGCCGAGCTTCCTTTTGGTTTCCATTGGATGCGGATGTCCTGTGAAGATGATAGGTATGCATGGGCGAGTATGGGATTCTGTTGCTACTGTTCAATTGATCGCTCAAGTGACCTGAAGGTGTTGAACGACCGGATCGGATGTTTGTTGTTTGTTGTTGTTATTGCAGGTCCATCCCAAAAGTTGTTCACTCCAAACAGAAGCCATTTAGCACTCAAAGGCATACTCTTGAATATCAATGATGTCGATTGACATGGGTTTCCGCACGAAAGAAGATAAAGTTGGATCCTGAAAAATGTGTTCAGGGGTTCGGGGGAGGCATAAGACGTTGTGCCCTGAGTACTTACCCATTGCATGCCGCCCTGAACGATAGGATGCTTGATGCCGACGAGTTTAGTGAGTTTAGTCTGGAGAACCATGGTGATGATGAGGGAAGAGTGCGATGTGAAGGAATGGAGAGGAGAGGAAGGATGATGAGCGACAAAGAGGGACCTTTTAGTGAACGAATTTTATATTCACTCCAGGGGCACAGGCACGCGCGAAACTTTGGCGTGCTGAAGGAAGGAAAAAATTCCCTTCTCAGACGAATGGCAGCCAGGCCCGGTTCCCCGCTGTCCGATCAAAATAAATGCACTGAATTGCAGCTCGTTCGACACATGCGCTGGATACGCGACCCATGTTCCCCCGGATACGAATTGGGCCGACAACGCTGTATTCCCACCTTTCTTTTGATCTCCTTTGTCCGGCGATCGGCAGACGAACGCCCGCTCAACACAACAAACAATTCTCGGCACGCTTGGGAGGAGGACGACAAAAACAATCTGCATTAGGGCGTCGCCCAGACGAGCGGATAAATTGAACCAAACGGCAATGATCGTGGCATTTGGTGCTCCAGGACTGTGGCCTCGTAATTCGCATAGCTCTATTGAGCACTAAACACATAATGGATGTGATACTCCACATGCAGCAGTTCCCAAGCCAAATTCAACACGTTGTGCGTTCACAAATCATTCCATTCGCTGTTTTACGAGTTTTTTATACATATGGCAGTTGGAGTCAAGAAAATAGTTCTTAAAGAAAGCGATCAACGAAGGAACATGATCAAGAGATTTATTCCTCATCAGCGGCCTCCTTCTTGGGGGCCTTCTTCTCCTCCTCAACACCGGTGGCACGGGTGTAGATCCACTGGGCACCGTGGGTCGAGACTGGGACAATGACACCGAGCTTGACCAACTCGCGGATGGCGGCACGAGCAAGGGAGCCGTTGATGCGGAGACGGTCAACCAAGACGGAGGGTGAAACCAATTTGTAGGTGGGAACCTCCTTCATAAGCTTGTCGTAGGTAGCCTTGTCGAGAATGACGGCGTTGTTAGCCTTGTCCTTGACCTTTCCCTTGGACCATTTCTAAGAGAGCAAATATGCAGAGACGTGGTGTTAAGATAGCCCAAAGAGCGACTTCATCAGTGTTTCCATTTGTCGGACAGCAAATCCTGGACAGGCGACATAGTCGAACAGTATGACTGTAGTTGCCCAATGTGTATAGATTTGATCCTCCTGAAGGTACATCTCTTAGACAGTGATAGAGAAAATATCGAGATAGCATGCACAGCTCAACGTTGATGGACTTGGACAAAATAGTTTCCGTGTCGCGGTCTATCCTGCACTCCAGTAATATCCAGTGTCCTCTCAATCGTTGTTATCCTAGCGTGCAAGGGCGGCGTCGTACCTTCTTCTTAGCTTTGCCACCCGAAGATGACGTAGGCTTGGCGGCGACGTCCTTTTTGGCCTATAGAACAGAGCATAAACAGACAAACAAGGGTTAATATAGCTGTTGGGAAGAACCAGAGTAGTTGTAGTTCAGACTGAATAGTTTCAGGTAAGACGCTGCCATCCAGATGGTCGGACCGGCCGTAATCTAAATGAGGTTGATTCAGCCCTGTGTGCATTCCATGTAGAGCGTATAGTCCTTGTGAACTCATCCTATAGCGACGTTGAGGAGATCTAGGAGCACTCATCAAGTCTCTTCACCAGATCGATCCTGAAGTCGAGATCTCAAAAGCGTTCCTTTGCCGAAAATACTGCAAGGGCTGTGTTGATATGGTCGTCAAAAAGTTCTGGCCATAAGGACAAGGTTGTGCAAAGAGTCATCCCGCAATATGTGCAAGCTGATCACTAGAACTCTGCATGTCGATGAGAGTAGAGATCCTCCTGCAACCATGAAGCAGCCGTCGGTGTATTGAAAGTAGCGACGGCGCTCCTGGTAAATAAAGATTCCTTTCGGTGTATAGATCGATGGATTGACGAATCGATGGATATAGAGTGCGCTTCGCTCCGTCTGCCACTTGGTCAACAGTCCGCGACTAACCATTGTGAATGTAAGAGAGGGTTTTCATTCAACCCGGGCAGCCAATTTCCTTATCCACAAAGAGTGAATAGGAAATAAATGTTGGAGAATGACGATACATTTTTGTATTTCCATTCTATGCAAGCATTATTTCCATACTGCTCACATTCCTTCCTTAATTGCACGATACTCCACTGCCCTGGCCCTGCCTTGTGTTATGATCTACCCTCTGTCCTACTTTCTACTGCCAAACCCATCGACTCCCTCTCGCCACCTTTTCTACGACGACCGAACGACATCCATGCCAAGGCCGCTTCCCGGGGGAGGAAGGCGGCTACTGCTACAGGGGCGACAACGACGCCAGGTTTCAGCCAGGCCACTGACATCTCTCCACGATCAGCAATGGAATCAGGTCATTCAGTTCTCGGCGCGGCACCTCTTCTGTCCTGCCCATGCAACGACCACGAAAGCAACCTCTGCAATAGTGATCAAGGCGCGAATGCCAGGAACGATAGTATCAGATATACCTCATATCGTCCGAGAGCACAGGAGCGGTATTGCGGTCCACTCATTCCTTGCCAGAAGCCTGTCAACAGCGGCAGCTCTCGCCTCCGATCCGCCAACAGCTTCTTCACCCTACTCTCGAGAGCGCGAGCGCCATCAACAGCAGCGGCGAGAAGCAAATAACCGACAAGGAGAGCATATGGTTTATGGAGGTTCAATATCCGAGAAATCCATGGCGGGATCGGACGTGGATCAAACTGATCGATCTCCCACAGAACCAGGCATAGAATCATCATCATCACCATCATCTTCTTCTTCACAATCGCCACCGCCAACCCCAACGAACAGATCGAAGCCTCAACACAGCAAGAGCATCGATTCATGGAGGTTCCCGACCATTACCCTAACAAATCGAAACCATCGCCACAATTACGACCGACCCACAGATCCGGTCCAGTCCTGGACATCGGCCGCAAGAACCCTCTCACGATTTTACAAGGCACTGCACCAGATCAAATTCAAACCAGCACAACATTCGCCATCATCAGCATTGCAATCAGCATTATCGCATTACAACTCCCTGAGTCGCCTCCAATCTACGCACGACACGGTCCTGATTTCGAGGAGAGACACAAGGACGCTTTTTTTACTACAGGGGCGGGAGCCCAAGACGGGCGCGAATCTGGAGCAGTTGCTGAGGATTGCAGTAGACCTGATCTGGTTGAACGAGAAGGAGAGGCAAAGGAAACGGGGTGCGAGCACAGGATCGGGATTAAAACCAGTTCCAGATGCAGCCGCCAGCAGCACAAGTAACAGAAGTGATAGCGATATCCATTATACACCGGAAGCCAAGGCGACGGCGACCCCGCTCCCACGTGTTCACAGCTGTGCAGATGACTATCACGGCCTCAGGGTGTCTGAGTACACCATCCTCATGAACTGGATCAGCTATGGAACAGAGGCTTTAGAACCCACATCCTACAACTGCAGCAGACTATCCTTATCATCATCGTCATCTCTATCTCCATCAACTTTCTTGCCCCTCAAGCACCAAGGATCGCCTATCGATAAGGCCTGGGCGACCTGGCAAGACTTCTTGCTCACAGGAATGAAGCCTGATGTGGTCTTGTATACAGCCATGTTGAACACGCTGCTCCGGACCAAGGAGTTCGATCGCGCGGGCCAGCTCTGGAGCCATATGCACCACCAGGACGGCCACGAACATCGCCACCTTCATCATCAAGGCGAGCCGTCCGATCTGTCTAGCGATAGCAAGGTCGATACTATAGAGGACCCGGGTCTTGTATCCAAACCCTTGGACCTCGAAACCATTTCCGTCTCTCCTTCCAGCAGCAGAAATGTCAACACGCCATCTTTAAGAACCGAGCTTCAGAATCCTGGTTCATCGCACCTTCCGGACATGGACCCCCGATCCCGTCATCAACATTATTTGCGATCATCATCGAAGGGGTCCTGGAGCCGAGCGAGCGTAACACCGAATGTCCAGACATTCTCGGTGCTCATGCAGACCCATGTCCTTAACCGCGATTTGCAGGGAGTTTCGCAGACCTACAAGGCATTGCTTCAGCAACAACAGGCCTTTTCGCAATCTGGATCACACAGCCGCCATCAACAGTACCAGCGACGTGCGAACGCTACTGTGATGAATCAAGTCTTGAGAGTCCTTGTCGATATGGGGGAATCCAAGGCTGCAAAGGAAGTTTATGCAGAAATGAGGACGGATGGCCCAGAAAGCAGTGGTGGTAGCAGCGAGGGTTACACCCTACCCGCGAGAGAAATGTTAGCACAAGAAGGAACGCCTGAGCCGGGAATGTCTTCACCATCGCCATTTAATCACGCCGCTGCCCTTTCCTCTTCACCAGTATTTACAAAACCGCTCCATCACCAGCTGTTTCTGAGACGGTCGGATTGGAGACGCAAAGTTCGCAAGATCGCGTCAACGCCTTCTGTAAATCATGGTGATGCCACGGCCGCTGGAGCTCTGACGATGCGACCAGACAAGACCACACACAGACTGATGCTGGAGCTGGCCAGACGCGAGGCGGATCATGAGCTGGAGGAGCTCGTTATCAAAGACACTTCAACCAAAAAATAGAAACAGTCTTTAAAGCTTAACGATATGTTTGCCGCGATCGCGCTTTCTGCTCAAAAACTGCTTCAAATGTAAAAAAAGTACTTGTGCTTGCTATAGTGAATACCGCAATCATTGATCCATCTCTTCGCTTTTCAAAATTGTGGTTTCGTTGGATGGAGAGCTTCGTGACCCAGGGTGCTGCTGCTGTTGTTCCTCTGGACTTGGCATGGATGATTCAGGCTGGTCCTTATTCCTTGCATGACTAGCCTCGTCATCACCAGATTGTCCGTCCGTCGTCTCCACAGGTGCATCTCCTTGACCAGAATCCCCTTGATCAGCATCACCTTGACCAGCACCGCCTTGGCCAGCATCGCCTTGGCCAGCATCGCCTTGACCAGCATCGCCTTGACCAGCATCGCCTTGATCAGCATCGCCTTGACCAGCATCGCCTTGACCAGCATCGCCTTGATCAACATCGGCTTGATGGTCTTGGAACAAAAGCAAATTGTCCTCCATGCCTCCCTTACTGCTACCGTTACTGCTATTTCCTCCAGAAACCGGTGGCGATTGCTGAGGACTCTTTGTCTTGGCATGATTTCGCTCTAATTCCTCTTCCTCAACTTGTACAGACCAATCTGTTCCAACATCGGGCATCGTCGTACTATCCTCCTTCTTCTCAGGTCCTTCCTGCTCACCCTCCCTCTCAGTCTCAGGCACATCCTGGATCTGTCGATGCTCCTGCTGCTGCTGCTGCTGCTGCTGCTGATGGTCATGCTCATACTGCTGCTCCTCCGTGTGTCGTGTCCTGCCGGGACTGCTCTGCCTGCTTCCTCCAATACTTCCACTTACGCTTCCGCTACGACCGGTGCGATCTCCCTTAGAGGCTTTACTTTTTACCGAGGGCGTGAACGCCTTGGCAGCCTGCAGAAAGCTCTTGAAGTCGCTCGTCGTCGCCAATCCGCCACCTCCAGAACCTGCAAGAACTGGTCTGTTGCCGGCGGGTAGTTGTGGAGACGTCGGCGTAGTTGTGGATGCCCTTGAAGCCGAGCGCTCATGGACCCCACCGTGTCTCAATGCACTCTGTGAGGCGGTCGCCCATGCAGCCATCGCAACATCATGATCAGGGTTGTTGCTGCCGTATGTGCGCCTTCCAGCCAGGTTGACCGAGGTCGGTCCGTTTCGCTGATTCTGCAGAGGTGGTTCCGACGGGCGTTGAGGTGCCGTACCGCCCCGGGATGGTTGACTGCCTCGGTTAGAATCGTTGTCTGAAGCTCCGTACTGGCCACCGCTGGAACCTCTACTGCGATCTCGGACATTATAAGACTGATTGCCTCCATTATCGCTTCCATCATTGCCGTACGATCGCGATCCATATCCCGTGCCTGAGCCTGAGCCCTGGCTATTGTAGTCATTTTGGTAGCCGGCCTGTCGATTCAGACTGTTATTGAAGCGTTCCTCTGAAGTCATCGGTCGCCTTTCCTGCGATGATGCACCAAGGCTGGACGGTGATCTTGGCTCATTGTTATCTTGAGCAGACGGGTTCCTGGTCTGGTTGCGGCCGCGGTTGTCCTGGTCTCGAGACCAAGTGGAGTGGGTATCGCTGGGTCTGCGTTCCTCGAAGGCTGCATGGGAAGAGCTATCGCCACCAGTAGAACTTGCTCCCGCGCGGTTCGCGAATCCGATATTACCCATATTACCCATATTACTTCCGCCACCCATCCAAAGGTCGTCCGGCTTTGCTGCATAACGGTCCTCGTTCGTGTTTTCATCATGCCGTGATGGAGCCTGCTGTGCTGATGACCCCTGTTGTGATGACGGCGGTTTACCCCAGTCTCCCTTGACTGGTCCAGATTTGCGCTGTGCAAATAGATCGCGCTCCTGGTCTGGGTCCCATTTTTGGACCACTGTCATCTTTGTCGGCTTGACGTCTGCAGGGAACTCAGTCACGAGTCCAGAGCTCCAATCGACTAACGCACCCGCTCCCTTGACTTGCGTCGTATCATTCCATCCAGCGCCACCAAATCCTCCTTCTCCGCCAGCTCCTGTTGCCGTTGGAGTAGTGCGCGTTCCCCATGGATCAGCTGCGGGTGGGTCCTTCTGTTCTGGTTGACGTTTTGCTCCAAACCCACCGTTGGTTGCAGGTGAAGCAGGGGTTACGCCCGTCTCCCATGGATCGACTGTAGCGGGCGCCTTTTGCTCTGACTGGCGTTTCGGTTCGTTATTGGAGCTCAGTGCCCTGGGTCCCGTCGTGGACGGAGTCGAGTCAAACCACTGGGTTGTTGAGACATTGTCCGCTGAGGCCAACGTTGGCTCGATGGGCCTTGTTGACCTCGAGTGATCCGCATTATCCCATCTAGAACCAGTTCCAGTTCCAGTTCCAGTTGTCTGATGACGGTCGTCTTGATGGTAATCAGATTGATGTCTCAAAGCTGGTGGCCTTCCAGTAGATGCTACGTGCGATGGAGCCGATGTAGCTGAGGACCATGGAGATCGAACAGCTTTTAATAATGACGTCGCGACCTCTGTAGGTGGCGGTACCGATGGTCTGAGCTCTGGCGCTGAGGCACTCGGGCCATTCCTCGCTGCAGATTGGTGTTGGTGATGGCGTTGCTGATACTGATGTGGCGGTGGGCGTTTTTCGGCTGTAATGATTCGTATGCCGTTGTAGAATGATTCCTGGTTCAGGACATCGTCTTCAGTGGTCTGGGTGGCCATCTCACAGTAGGTCTTAGTGACTATCGCTGTATGCTTCGTGCCTGAATACCGCTACACATCAGTTATCATAACGATGGAGAGTAGAGCAGCAGCAGATTATGTCAATAAAGCGGCGACTCACAGTCAAGGTGCCACTGAAAAGAACGGGTGCAGGGACACTTACGTCGGCAAGGCCTTCAGTCCGCTCGAGTTTGTCATAGGTCTCGTGGAAAAAGTTGGCGGAGGACTCAATCCCGACCGCAAAAGGGTCGCTGCTCTTTGCAGACTGGTACGCCTTCAAAGAGTCTGTTGGGTAGTAGGACGAGTTGGGTGACCCGGGTGGGCCGCGATGGGGCTGCCTTGACCCGTAGCGGTCATTGCCTCCATGTTCGAATCGCTGCGACTGGCCATGAATGTTGGCATTGTTGTACGAGCTGTTGTTGTCGTGTTGGCGAGAGTAATTGTTGTTGTCGTGTTGGCGAGAGTAATTGTTGTTGCTGTTGCTGTTGCTGTTGCTGTTGCTGTTGCTGTTGCTGTTGCTGTTGCTGTTGCTGTTGCTGTTGCTGTTGCTGTTGTAGTTGCTGTTGTAGTTGCTGTTGTTGCTGTTGTAGTTGCTGTTGTTGCTGTTGTAGTTGCTGTTGTTGTTGTTGTTGTTGCTGTTGTTGTTATTGTTGTTGTTGTTGCTGCTGTAGTTGCCACTATAGTTGCCGCTGTAGTTGGAAGGCCGAGAATAGCGATGGCCTCCAGGGCCATCGTGGGAGGAGTAGCCTCTGTCCATTGCGATTTGGCTGTTGGGTGGAAGAGAGTCGATCTCGACGCGTACGCCCCTTTTATGCCGCACGCGTCAAAAAGAAAGCGGTCTCACGTTGACACATCGACATGTGCATGTGCAGTACCGGACAAGAACGTACGTCCACAACAACATTTTGGGGCATGGTCTTATGTGCAGCGACATTGCTGACAGAGACTACAACCATGCTGTTGATGGCTAAACCTTTTGCTGTGCGCTGAAAATACGTACAGGAACATCTTACATCTGTAGTCTCGGCTCAGTTCATCCACCAAAAAGTGTCCGAGGGAACATCTGCAGTGGAGCTTACTTGGCATAAGACAGATATGCTGTGCGGTGCAGTGGGATGCAAACTGCCTTCCTTTCTAAAGCCCCTGACAAGAATGATATAGCGAGCCAATATAAAGTGTAATGTATGGGTGCATAGCTCCCTGGCGAACTAGACTGGACCAGTTGAATCACTTTCTGAGCTAATAATGTCCTTGCTGCTGCATAAGAACACCGGCATGCATGAACACATAGGCCTCCTTTTCCTGAAGCGCTCCAACCGAACCATCCATGCTATGGAGGGACGGATGGAACCCAAGGCCAGCACTGATGATATGGGTCGCCATCTGATGCCCGACCCCAGGACTGTCGCCGTCATTTGCCAGTCAGTCAGTCAGTCAGTCAGTCAGCCAGTCTTTACCCGGTCAAATAAAATAAAATCGCTCTTCTGCAGGATGATGCGTATGGATAGCAAGGTGGATTCTGATTGGTTCAGAGGGGACGAGTGCGTCTTCAATTAGACGGCAAAACTGATTATTTGGTCTCGAAAAAGAAAAAAAAGTCCATCCCTCTTCCTTTCCCCATTCTACACCTCACACACACAATCAACATCATCCCCAGAAACTAGAAAAAGAAACAAAACCCCTTCTTCGTTCATTCATTCATTGATTTCATTCGTCCCTCTTTACATCTTTTGGCTTCAGCATCCTTCGCTCCAATCCCTATCTTTCGTCGTTGTTGTCATTCCTGCTGTTATTTATGCCTTCCGCCTTTAATTGCTCGTAGCTTTTACCCGAAAACACAGAAACCATCAGGGCCATTGTGGTTCCCCAGTCTATTGTTTAGTTTTCTTCTCTCCTCTTCATTCACCTCTTTTTTTCTATAGCTCGGCGATTGCTCTTTTCTCTCATATCGCAGCTGAATTTGCAACTGGCCCTGCAAGATGGCTTCGATCCACGACCTCTGCAACCCAGAGCCAGAGAATGAACACCCCACCAAAAGCAATGTGAAAGATTATCCACCTTCCGCCGGTCCTGCTGTCCTTTCCCGTGCTCCCTCTCACCATCCGCATTACCAGTCCTCTCAGCAACAGCACTACTCGATGCCCTATGAGAGTCGTCCGCATTCACACCACCCGCACGATCGACACCCTCAGCAATACCAGCCATATCCACCAGCTCCACACCATCCTCACCATTCTCATCATTCGTCTTACCCTGCCCATCCTCCTCCTCCTCTGCACCATCAGCAGCATCCTCCTTATCCGACGCACCGCGACCAGTCGGTCTACGATACCAGATATCCATATGACCCGCACTATCCGCCCTTGAACGGTGCTCGTCCACGCACACCTCCACCGCCCCATGCGTACGATCATTACCCTCCTAGCCACTCGCAGCATCCACCTTCGAACGCTTATCATGAGCCTTATCCGAAGGAACACTTGAGGGAGCGCCCTAGAGTACAACTTTCCGGCGGCGCCGGGGCTCCAGCTCCAGCTCCAGCTCCAGCTCCAGCTCCTATTGCCAATACTCCTAGTTCTGTGTCAATAGAGCCAATTGGCAAAGTCCCTCCGTCAGAGCACCGTCCGCTCATGACCGAGCACAACCCACAGGACACAACCGCCCGACACATAGATGAACGGTATGAGTGTAGCCAGACTCAGATGCACACATTCAAGCCCATGTTTTCCAACGCTTAATAGCCTGCGCTATTGGAACTAACCGATTCCTTGTGATGATCCACATAGACCGGCAAGGATTAAGATCGTACAGCAACCGCTGCACGCGCGGATGTGCGGATTTGGGGAAAAGGATCGTCGACCGATTGATCCACCACCCATTGTTCAGCTTCTTTTGGATGAGGATCACGAACAACATCCCTCCAAGCGAGTTCAGCGCTCTGCTATCGCGGCAGCAGCAGCCAAAAAGAATGCAGCTGGTGCCACCACATCCTCAAAGCAGAAACGCAAAGGCCCGAGTGACGATGGCGAAGATAGCCATGACGATAATGAAGACGAGGATGAAGCTTATCAGCTCGAAGACGATGACGAGGATGAGAATGGGATTAAATCTTCGTCGACTAATGCGACTGCGGCGACAGCGACGGCAGGAACGCGATCAGGTGTGCGTGCGACCCGGGGAGGAGCTGGATCTCTGAAACAGGAACATGACACGACTTTGACGGCCTCTTCTCCGTCCTTAGGAAAACGTGGTCGTCCAGCCGGTCGACAGGGTAGCAACAAGCACAAGCGATCTAATTCCGCCGACCATGATGACGAGGATGACGAGAACGCTCTTAGTGACCATTCCAATCCTGGAAGCGATGCCGAAGATGAGGATGGGTATGGAGGACAACTGCAAGAGCAGGATCCACTCTTTGTGTTGCATGTCTCGTTGTGGTCCGCCGATGGCAAGGAAGTCCGGAATATGATCGCAACTCCGGGACAGTCTGAGCCACCGAAATTGACGAGGATCTTAATGGGATCTTTAGTGGTGTCGCCGATCTTGTTGAATAGTCCTGAAGGTGTGCCGGGTTGGTACTTTAGTTTCCCGGATCTGAGTATCCGAACTGAGGGCGTTTACACTCTCAAGTTTTCGCTGATGCGATTTGGAAGGTAAAACATTCTCTCCCGAACCGGCTTCTTTAGCAGTTCTGGTTTCTTTCGACTTTAGCGTTGATTAACATCCGGCTCTTTTCTGCTTTCTTCCGCGCAGCTTCGATTTCATGAATAATGATGATGGCCATGCATCAGGACTGGTGGCAGAGGAGACCAGTGATCCCTTTACGGTCTTTTCAGCGAAAAAATTCCCTGGCATGACCGGTACGTGAATCTTTAGCAGAACATCTTCTCGGAAACGAGTTTCTTTTTATGTTTTTAATGCTTACTCTTTTTTTTTTTTTTTTTTTCTCTTTGTTGATTTAGAATCGACCGAGCTATCAAAGGCATTCGCGAAACAGGGCCTCAAAATCCCGATCCGTAACGACCTGCGCGCCCGCAAAGCCGACAGGGACTAAGCTGCTGACATAGAAGACAAACACAAATAAAGGAAGCGAAGTAGCTTTTTGATACAGATGATATGTTGGAGAGGTTTTATATTTATATTTTTTTATAATTATGATGGTAAGAATGCGAGATGCGAATGAAAATGGAGTTTTAAGAGGATTCGGATCCTGTCGATGCTGGTGCACCCTCCGCCCTCTCAGATCTAGGCTTTCTTCTCTTCCTCTTCTTCTTCTCCGATGGACCCTCACCTCCTTCACTCGCCTCCGTCTGTGCCTTTTCCTTCGGTGCAGGCTGTACCGGTGCCGGTGTCGGTGCCTTCTTTTTCTTCTTCACCGACAACGGGTTCGGTTCCTTCGGCCCCATCCGCTTCTTCAATAGCTTCGCTTTTTTGACCTCCAACTTTTGCTTCTTATTCTCCTGCTTCGCCTCAAGTCTCTGCACCAACTTTGGATCCACGGACACCTTGCCCATCGCCGTTACCTTTACAGCTTTCAAGGTCTGCAACTCCTTGCTACTCGCATGCGTTTTATCGGACTCAATTTTCTTGGCGCCCTTCAAACTGGCCTCTGAGGGCGGTTCGAGGATCAGATTTGCACGTTTAATGTACAAAAGAGGCACACCGGGGACAGTTGCGAATTTGAGACGGAGTTTTTTGGATTGGGTCGCGACGACGTAATTGTGAGGGTTGGTACTGGCAATGATTTGAGAAAGACATTCGGATTCGGGAACGGCGGTTTGGTGTTTGCAGCGACGTTTTTCATAGCGCTTAGAGGAAATGAAGGCGCCGGAGCCATCTTCGCCGCGGGCTTTTAGTGCTGCCATCGTGCATGGTGTCACCACTATTGGAAGGCGGGAGGGAGGCAATTGAGGGGGAGGAAGAATGGAAAAAGCAAAGACCGTGTTAGTTCCCAAGTTGCGGACCAAATTATTATTTGACGAGACATATCTTGGAAAGAAACGACGAAATAGTTGATATTGGGCGTACTTTGCTTGGAAGCATCGCAGAGGACGTTAGGGATCATGGTCCTGAGATCCATCCTTTGATCCAATGCTGCCTGGATGAAATCTCCGTCGGCTAGATACACAAATAGGACCGAAAAACAGCATTGTTAGTTTTGTAGCACATCTCCCCGTCTTTTCGTGTAGAACCTGCAGATAGTCATTGAGTGAATTGACGCCTATCTTCCAGGCTATGGCAGTATCGACAAGTTGAACAAAAACATACCAAGGACTTGATATGGTTTGCGAAAATGATAGGACTGGCAGTACATATTCATGTACCGCTTATAATCTTTATGGCGCTTCAGTCTCATTTCGAAAGTGTATCAAATGTCTGGAGAAAGTGAAGTTGAAGGAAGCTTAGTGAAGCAGCGAGGGTGTGAACGAGAGTGTGATGATGCAGACTTGACGATGGTCTCCCATGTCTTTTTTTTTTTTGTGCTGTGTTTACATTTCCCTCGTGGCAGTCACCAGCAAGCTTCGTCTCATTGGAGCACAGAAAATTAAAAACGCGTTGCGCGACGCGTCAAACCCCTTTGGATAGTCCAGTCCATCTGGCCCAAAAGGCGCTCAAGAGGCACGCTACATTCCAGAACACTGTGAGCGTATTTCTAGTGAACACAGTACATCTTCAAACGAGCACGCGGCTCTGTCCACCCTCGCCTAGTTTAGTCTCGCCCATAAATATTTTAGTCAGGGCAGGTGGATAGTCTCAAGCACGCCCAACACCGTCGCCATTGACATTTTAGACAACAGCGTCTCTCCCATCTGAATTTTTAAAATGATACATCATAAAAAATGTTCAGTTGGGGATACTCAGCACCCTATTGCACAGCACACGGTTTCGGTGAAACATACTTGATATAGCGGACAAATCTAGCCTTGACCAGAAGGAGCCAGATTGCTTTCAGCATAAACCACGTAAGATGGAGCGTCAACCTCGATTGACGTCTCTGCGACTCGACCATGATCTACAGCTCCACTGCTGAAATTGCTCAAGTGGTGCCTTTGTTCAGATCTATTTTATTCTGTTGGCCGATGATAGGGAGCGGTGAATCTTTCTTTGAATCAAAGAAAAGGGTACTTCATAGGCTTTTTTATTGTGTACCCTTCCGACCTGCTGTATCTGGAAAGGATGACTGTCTTTTTGAGGAGGCGTAGGGTAGACATCAAAGGCGGTTCCTGCTTGTAATCCATTGCAACAATCGTCCAAACCCAACAATGGAAGCCAGACACGCGAATTAAGCCAAACGAAAAGTGATGAATACGGAGAAGATTAAAGGAGGGATTGGTCGCTCGACAATATGCAGCGATGGAAGGGATTGCCTGGCTGGCCTCTTCTCGCTGGATTTTCAGTGATAAGTGCCTATGCTTATGCCTGCAATCTTTCTATACATATCGCTGAGATTATGTGCTTTGTTACCATCACTCACTAACACGGACTTGTTATATATGATCCTCGTACTTATGTTGGAGTTAGGGGGAAAGGACTGACGAGGAATGGGTGTGGCCTCTGATTTGCTTAGGACGCATCTGTCTTCGGTATCCAGGTGGATCGCGGTGTTGGGTGAGTGCGTGCGTCGCGCGACGCGCATCATCAGCTGTGCAGCATAGACATAACTGACCCTTAACGAATATTTTGTACTCAGAGAGGAGAGGGGTCGTTGCTCACGCGGTGCCCACACGTCAAAGCTGGGCGCGAACTTTGTTCATGGGTGCAAGTCTTTTGTCGTTCGTCATTCTCTTCCCCTTTTTCCTAACAGCCAGCAACCAGCAACCTTTACGACGAAAACGACCAACAACAGGAACACATTGCAACACCTGTAACAAGTAACGACAAGACATTCGACCATGGCATCTCAATGGAACATCAGTGAACAACACAAGCGTGTTTGCTTGTTCCCCATGCCAAGGATACCCCGCCTGGGTCCCAAAGCTCGCGACGGCGCTATCTACGTCACTGGAGCACTGGTAACGACAACTGCCTAAGCAGCAGCACCCTGCCAATTTTGCTCGTTGCCAGCACTAATTGTTCCATCCAGATACAATGTTGAGAAATAACGATGAGCGAACGGTGTATTTAACCTCCGCTCCGTTACATCCCTTCGTGCAAATAGTTCGCACTCGGATGGTGGTTCTTTATCGACTCAGTTATCCGCTCTAAGAACTGGAACTACGACGACGGTTACAAGAGCGTGTCCGTCGCATTTGTGGATTGGGTGCCAGGTATCTGCAGCACGCTTGGAATGATTGTGTAAGTGAAGCACATTAAAAGGTTCCTTTTTCAATTGGTCTAGAAGACCTTGGACGTTGGAGGAGGAAATTCATTTCGTATATGACGGAATGCCCTGAATTTTAACGAAAACAAAAACGAAAAGGGTCGCTATTGTGTTTCTAACATAACTGCTTATCCTCTCGACCTATTGAACAATAATACAACACATAGTATCAGCTGCATTGACAAGGCAGCACTCAGAGGCGACAGCTTTTCATTCTCAAGTGGAGGTGGCGCCAGCGTTGCATGGAAGGCGCGTGTATTCCTGTTCATCGGATTCGCGTTCATGGCTGGAGGACTTGCCGGTTCAATCGTACGTGCTCGTCATTACTGTCCCGTTTCGTCCGCGAAGCCAGGTTTTTTTTTTCTTCCAAGATTTGTTCGTCTCACCACTTTTCCTTGGGGTTTCAATCATTTAGTCGGTGCTCTGCATCAAGTACATCCTTCACAATTATGGAGCCATTTTCAACTTCTGGGGCATCTGTAATGTTATCCAGAATGCCTCTATCATGACCAGGTAAGACCTTCTATCATCACTTCGCCGAATGTTTCTTTTTACAGGTGCTCCATATCAAGCTCATGTTCACAACTGTGTTTTTTATTCACGATTCATCATCTGCTTTGTAGTGCCGCCATCCTGTGGGTCGCCCAGAGCACAGAGTCCGAATACCAATACAACTTGGCCATCTAATTGACGGTCCATTGGAGCAACATCGCCGTATATATCGAAGCAGGAAGGGAGCAGAAGCGATCACGCCATGGGATAGTCGGCGTCGAGCAAATAAAATAGTCGATTTGCAACTGTATCGTTCCATGTGGAGGCGCTTATCGCTGTGCTTCGATCTTAAGCAATCGATCTCGGGTACCTATATTCATGGACATTATTGAGACTCCCACAGATACAACTGCACATGTTTTGCCCGACACTGCACCTCTTAACCCAACGACATTGAACTCCATGTTTTCTTTGAGATATAAAGGAGGGCGACGCAACAGGACAGAACCTGCTGCATCAGTTTTCAAAAATAGTTGCATTGTCAAATCCAGTTGTCTCAAAGCAAGCGTCGTGTTTCCAGCTGTCATAGGATAAAGAAGGCACAAAGGAGTTCAATCGAGAAGAAAAAAAAATAGGTTTTTTACAAACCGGAGGAAAACCGAGGTAAATCTCTCGCCCTTTGATCCCAAGTTCTTCTTCTCCCTGTGTACCACTCAAGAAGAATCGACAGAATCCGTTGGAATCCATCTGCGAATATTGGCCCACGTAGTCCAATATTTCCCCCAGCGTTAAAAGAGCGGAAGGGAGAAAAATAAACAAGGTCCTCTGGAGCGGAAAAAAAAAAGATACACTCGGTCCCCCAAGAACGACAAACGATCATATTCACCGCCGAGAAAAACATAAAATGTGTCCGATGGACAAGGGAGAACAAGGATTTAACAAAAATACTGGTATACAATCTCTTTATAGTCCCCCCCCCTCCCCCCAATATAACCATCTTTCGCTCACGCTCTAATCCAGCTTTAAAAATGTCAAGATTGGCCACCCGTGCCGTTGCTCTGAATCATGAGAAGTTGCTAGGCCACATTGAACAATATAACAACAGAGGCGAATAAAACGAAAAAGGTGGAGCGCGATGCCCACTACCCATCCAAAGTGTCTTCACCAGGTCAGAATAAAGGGGATGTGATATGGAGTGTCAGAAGTAGAACAATGAGTGTTAATCAAAGAGGTAAAATAAAATAAAATAAAATAAAATAAAATAAAATAAAATAAAATAAAATAAAATAAAACAGAATTGTAGAGCCCCTCCCAGTCCCTGCTCCTGCAATGAGACCAGGCACGATGGATCAAGGAACCACTTTTGCTCAGAATGGCGTCGACAAAAGCGAGCAGAACCGAGCGGTCCAGCAAGATCCATTGTGTCAGATCGATCGATAGTCCCCCAAAAAGAACTGTCTACGCCTGAAGTGACCCTCCAATGACCCGGTGAATATATCTCCCCAGGCCTCTGCCACCTTGCAGAGACTGGGGCATGGTTGTTCAGGGAACCACGTTAGCCCCAAATGGCCCGGCTGAAGCGGGCGGATCAAGGCGGTCCAGCAAGCGCAAACCATGTCGGACAGATAGCAGAAGGATTTAGGGTTTACTGTAAAGATGATGGTCAGAGCAAATGGACGACAGGGAACAACAATCTCGGTTAAAGAAGAACAGGATAGAGGTGAGGTACTCTGGAAGGAAGGGAAAGAGAAAGAAAGAACAGCATGAAAAGGGGATACGCGACGAATGAATATGACCGTGTGAGAAAATAGAAGAGGTCAAGAAGAGCGTGGAAGAACAGGGAAGCATAATGAACCAATCTCTCTCGTCGTCCGTCTCTTGTGTTTCTTGGAGTGCAAGTCCTATACAACTGGAACGTCGACTTGCTCGATTACCTGGAATGACAATATGTAGCTCCCCTGTCTTTGAAAAGACAAATGGAAGGGATGGACATGTGTGAAGAACAGACCATGGCCCTGAACGCGCGTTTTTGTTTTTAGTTCCAACAGTCGTCAAATCTACACGTGAGTGGACTGCCATTTCCCATCTTGGACCAGAAGTAGGAGTTGGGTTCAGCTCTTCATCTCGTCCAACACCTTCTCCATCTCCTCGCCCTTGCCAACCAGGAACCCTGCCCAGACTGCGTTTATCAACAATACTCTCCCCTCAACTTTCATCGTTTCCTGTGAAGAACAACCCCCAGGATAGCTTCGGGTATAGAAGCAGGACCAGAATCAGAGCATTTGGACTCGAGTAGGAGGGATACGAGGGCTCTTCTCCAGGAACAGGATACATATCCCGCACTTACAATATGATCAGCGCACTCTTTATCTACAACCAAAAAGGCGAAGTCCTGATATCCCGGCTCTACCGCCAGGATCTCAAGTAAGTCCACTTACGCTCAGTTGCGTCCGGTTTTATTTTTCATTGCACCCATATCGACATCCTTACGTTCATTCTGCTGGTCCCCCCTCTATCGCTTGTCGATTTGCTCACGAATGCTTGGCTACTATTATCAATACAGACGTTCAATCGCAGATATCTTCCGCATCCAAGTTATCTCCAACACGGATGTGCGTTCGCCCATCATCACCTTGGGTTCAACATCGTTCTTCCACGTCCGACACGAGAACTTGTACATTGTCGCATTGACCAAATGGAACTCCAATGCTGCCTTGATCTTCGAGTTCTGTTATCGTGTCATCAATATCGGCAAGTCATACTTTGGAAAGTTCGACGAGGAAGCCGTCAAGGCTAACTTTGTCTTGATCTATGAACTGCTCGATGGTAAGAGGCACCCTTCGCATCCACACATTTACGACGAGTCCTGCATGGAAGAATAACAGATCTCTAATGTATACCACCAAAAAATTCGCATGACTTGTCCTTGTGCAGAGGTGCTTGATTTCGGATACCCACAGAACAGTGAGGCGGACACGCTGAAGATGTATATCACCACCGAGAGTGTCAAATCAGAGCGGGCGATCAAGGAAAATTCTGCAAACATCACCATCCAGGCCACGGGTGCCACGTCCTGGAGACGGAGCGACGTCAAGTACAGGAAGAACGAGGCTTTCATTGATGTCATTGAGTCGGTCAATTTGCTGTTGAGTGCACAGGGCAATGTTCTTAGGGCTGATGTGGCGGGACAGATCATGATGAGGGCGTATCTTTCTGGAACGCCAGAGTGCAAATTCGGTTTAAACGATAAGGTCTTGTTGGAGAAGGATCCATCGAACAGAAAGTAAGGCTATGGTGTTTCCCTTCTGGGCTGGTCGTTAGCATTGGGGTCCTTTATTCTGGACTGGCGTGGACAGAGACGTTTGTTCTGACTTGTACTTCCATTCATTTCTTGGGTGATTGTAGGCGAACATCCAATACAGTGGAAATTGATGATTGTCAATTCCACCAGTGTGTCAAATTGGGCAAATTCGACAGCGACCGGACCATCAGCTTTATACCTCCTGACGGCGAGTTTGAGCTTATGAGGTAACAAACGGTCTAGATTGTCTGTATTCACATCGGGCCACAATGAAAAGGGGCTCGTTCTGGAGTTGGGACTTGTTACTGACAGATGGACCAACATTTTAGGTATCGCACGTCGGACAATATCAACCTACCGTTCAAGGTCCATCCAGTAGTGACGGAAGTTGGCAAATCAAAGATTGAGTACCGGATTCTGGTCAAGGCCAACTTTTCGTCGAAGCTGTACGCGAACAATGTAATCCTCAACATCCCCACCCCACTTAACACTGCAGGAGTTACCTGCTCGGCCTCGACAGGCAAGGCGAAATATGTCCCTGCTGAGAACTCGATTGTTTGGAAGTAAGTTTATATCCTTTTTTGGTGCCCACAAACGCATCTGGTTCCTGATGCAAGTGCACGATATGATTATTGTGTATATGTTTTAATCAAGTCTCGGCTTTCTTTTTCTTCTAGGATCCCTCGCTTCCAGGGTCAATCCGAGTTCATGCTCACGGCAGAAGCGGACCTGACGGCGATGACACACAAGAAGGCATGGTCGCGTCCGCCGATTTCGATGGATTTCCAAGTGCTCATGTTCACATCTTCGGGTCTGCTGGTTCGGTTCCTGAAGGTGTTTGAGAAGAGTAACTATAATTCTGTCAAATGGGTGCGATACATGACCAAGGCTGGCAACTATCAGATTCGGGTAAGTCTTTGCTGCATTCTTTTATTTTTGCCTTATTCGACAGAATATGCATGGGAGAACGGAAGAACCACCGTTAACGTTGGTTTGTCTATGTTCTCTTTTTTTTTTTTTTTGCAATTGAAATAGTTTTAAATGTACGAGCCATTCTGGGCAGCACACGTGCCCTTAGTACTGCGTAGTGCAAAGCGCGACGGGTCATGGGCTACTAATGGACAAAGAGAGCAGGCTTATAGATGGGTGCACAATCAAACACCATGTAGTAATAAACAACAGGCATTTAAGATACAGCTCTCCGAAAAAGTGCGCAGGAACTTTGCTTCACCATTTATTGCCTTTATGGGCTGCCTACGTGCCTGCATTCGCGAACACAACAATAGAGCTGCAAAAAGTGCTTGCTTGGACGCGTGGGAGATATTTTTTTAGCTGCGATACATGGCGTAAATAGCACATCCGGCTATTTTGGCGCGAAAGGAGGACTAGCTCTATAGCGAAAGACGATTGTACAGTACATGTACATGTAGTACAGTGTACAGGCTTTAATTTGGAACGCTGGACGAAAGCCGCAGTTTTTACCTTATCATCACCATCAGTCTAGTGTCCAAAGAAAGTGAAGAAAGTGTCGGTAGACAAAAAGGGGTAGTCTATCCCCCGAACTTGCGGTGGGGCCAAGCAAACAACATACGTATATAAAGGAGGAGCAAAATATTTCTCTCCTCTTTTCTTTACACAGTAATAGCGATCCAAACAGTACTCCGGTACAAAACAAGAACTCTATATATCTTTATTCTCAACAAAAACGGACACTTTCAAAATTATCGACAGAAAAAGCGCAAACAGAGGACAAGGATGCCATTGACCATAACAAGATTCGGACCCGAGAACGTGTCGAGCGCAGAGCTGGCCAAGGCCTTCACGGACAGTCGTCCGGCCTCATACAAACTCGAGTACTTTGACGTCTCGGGCGTTGGCGCCGTTCCTCGCGATATCCTTGCTTATGGAGGCGCAGACTGGGAGGATCTCGCCATCACTGTAAGTCGATGCATTATCAATCTGCTAAAGCGCAGTAAGTAACATGAGCGTCAGTTAACCGTGGGACTTTTTTTTTTTTTTTTTTTTTTTTTTTTTTTTTTTTGGTGGTGGTGACGGTGATATTGATGGTGGATTGATTTAGAACTGGCCTGCAGAGATCAAATCCCCATTCGGAGTCTTCCCCGTACTGCACATCCGGACCGCGGATGGCCATGAGCTCAAGCTGTCCGAGAGCGTGATCATCGAGCACTTCCTAGCCCGGAAATTCGGACTCCTAGGTGAGAACGAGTGGGAGGAACAATTGATCAAGATGTTCCATTCCTCGTCGCTCTATCTCCGTGAGCGACTCTTCATGCGCGTTACTTGGTAAAATTGAAGCCCTTGCGTTCTTCTTCTCTCGAACTTGATCTCGATATTCTCGTATAGAAAGGCTAGAGAGGGCTGATGGATTAACCAAACTGGACTTGATGTCTATGGTTTTTCGATGATGGGGAAAAAATAGGAACTTTAAGGACAAGATGGACCAGACATTCGAGACGTTTATGAAACAGACGCTGCCGCTGTGGATTGAGACCCACACAAAGCATTTGAAGGATAACGGATCCAATGGCCATTACGTCGGTAACAAGGTAACACCACCGTTCCAGCAAACGTTCAAAAACAAAAAAATCTTTACCTGACCAACTATGGCAGCAAAAAATGGAAAGACTTTTTTTTTTTTTTTTTTTTTTTCCTGACAGATGTCTTTTCGTTCTATGATCTAGTTATCGCTGGCAGATGTCCAGACGGCAAACGACATTGATCACTTTGCATGCTTGTACAAGGGCGATGAGATTGTGAAGGCGATTAAGGAAAAGAGTCCTGAGATTTGGAAGGTCAAGGAAACGGTCGACAGTGAACCCAGACTTCAGAGCTGGCGTCAGTCGGAGGGATACAAGAAACATATTGCGGCCTCCCAGGCTATCTATGCCAACACCGGTATCTGATGGTCTGTGGGCAAAGTCCCTTCCTCTCCCCTGCTTAAAGCTTGCTGCAGCAAGTTTCTGTCTCTGACTCTCCACTCAGAAGAATAAAAAGATGTCCCTGAATTTTGTCCCTGAGGCGATGTTTACGTGTTTGCATTCATTGTCTGCAGCTGGACGATGCATATAACGGACGATTCCTGTACAAGTTCTCCTCAAGACCTGCATGTCCATGCATCCCTGAGGCATCTCTAAGCTTTCTCTCTCGCTCTCCACCTTTCGTTGATGGTATAGAAACAGCAGGAGCGACGCGAAACGAAAAAAATAAAAAAATAAAATAACGAGTGTACGAGCGTGAAACTCATTGAACACAAAGTGGCTTTTTGCACCAAAGAGCCCTCCTCTTTATTCACGCGTGTCTCCAGCCAATCAGCATCCTTCGAGTCAAGTGCGCTTCCTCCCCACACAAACAAAGCTCTTTTCCCACCACCATCGCGACCTTCCTTGTGTTCCTCCCTCTTTCTTTTTTTTTTTTATCTTTTTCATCATCCCCCAGAACCCTTTTTTTTCATCCCTCATGTTCGCATCCGCCTACCCAAAGCTCCGCTCGTGGCTCGCCTCGGTCGCTTCGCCATCTTCAACCCATGCCTCCGGAATGCTCATCCTCCTCGGCATCCTCGCCGCCGTGACCGAGGCCTCTGTCAAAGAGCCCATCCGCGTACACCATCCCAAAGTCCACCCCGCCTCGTCATCCAGACTCCCCAGTGAAGGCACCGCAGAAGAAGCCGAGGCGAAAGCGTTGAACAGCCAGGAAATGTTATACTACGTTGCCATGGGCATGCTGGTCTCCCAGGGTTTGATCCGTCTCCTGACATTTATCTCGAACCGGCGTGAGGCCGCCGCTACTGGCGCCGCCAAGAAGGACGATGATCTTCGGAGAGGAAAGAACTCGAACGGGGACGATGACTTGGATGATCTGGAGGAGAAGAGGCGGAGGGCGGAACATTTGGCAGCCTTGGGAGATAATGCCTCGTTGTTGGGCTCGGATTCTGAAGATGAGGATTATGAGGAGGAGAGTGAGAGCGAGAGCGAGAGTGAGGATGAAGAGGAGGAGGACGAGAGCGAGAACGAGAGCGAAATTGAGAGTCGTCGTCATGTCCTTATTGCGGGCGATGCCGTGATTGAGGAGTAGAAGGAAGGAAGGAAGGAAGGGAAAGGAAAAACCAAAGAGAATAAAGGACACCGACCATCATCACTGCGCCCGCCGTTTTCGACGCCAAGAGAAATGTCGGGAGGAGTTGTAAGGAGGAGGAGGGGGGGTGGTACCATCAACAGACAACAAATTACGACGATAAACAAAACTCAACACCATTCCTCGTTCATTCGACTTTTGAAGGAGACAGGCAAAGTCGGTCGCCCTGATTTTTTTTTCAGCTGTTCTTCTTCACAAGGAGTTTCCAGCAAAAAAAAACAACAACAACAAAAAGCCTAGGAATGAGGCCTATCATACAAGCCCTGTCTAGCAAACATGATATACATCCAAACACAGACATCCCACACACACCCATAGGCAATAATAAATTCGTCGTCCGTTCAAGTTTTTATTTTACCAAAAGGACTTCTTCATTAGAGCCAAAAGGTCCCCCACGGCCATGGGCGCGGCTGCTCTTTTTTTTTTTCCTTTTTTTTGGCTGGGGTAAACAGCTCGCCCACTCGAGACCAAGCCATTGTTTGCCTTGACTATTTCATTGAAAGTAGGCGTTATTGCTTTTTTATTCGTTGTTTTTTCATCATTTTTTGGTGTATTTTTTTTCATAAACTACAGAACGTTAAGAAGGGAGGGGGTATGAGAGAAAAGGGGTCGGAATGCAAAGGAGAGGAGGAGGGGAGAAGGGAATGCCTTTTTTTTTCCCTAGTTCTCTTTTTTTTTTTTCTTGTTCTTTCTCGCGTGAATTCGCACAACGAAACAGGAATAAGAATAAGAAAAAAAAAGAAAAGAAAAGAAAAGAAAAGGAAAACCGAACAAAAAAAACTACTATTGTACATTTGTTTTCTACAACAACTTGAAATGGGGTCAACAAAAAAAAAAAAAAGAAAAAAGAAAGAGATCATAACTTTCATAAAAACATAAAAGGCCCTCAAGTAGAGACAACTCCCGCTCCCGACAACGCTTGTTGCTGTTCCTGCAGCCGCCTCTCACGCTGCTCTCGATGCTGCTGCAGATGCTGCTGCAAAAGCAAGGATGTCCTCCGACTGACCTTGGGACTCGTCACCAAAGACGATGGCGAATACGCACTCGGTGATCCTGATCGTGAGGATGGTGAAGAGTAGGTCGAACTGGTGCTGCTTCCCGAAAATGAAGAAGACCGTCCACCATTGGGGATCGAGGTCGAGTACGAGGGCGGGGGCTGTAGCAGTGGCGTTACCAGTGAACGGCATGATGCCAGACGCGCCTCCAAGGACTGGAAACAAAAGCAAGAATACGATATAATCGTTTCAATGATTAGCAAAGTGTTCACCGCATTACTACTGACAAAAAAAAGAAAAAAAAAGGGGATCATCCACTCAAAAGTACCTTGACGCGTCCGACCATATCCTGGACGGCTTTGACTGGGTTGTGGTTGAGTGTAGCGCCTCCAGCGGTCGCCAGAGGTGTTCCTGCTGTTGCAAGTCGTGAGGACGATCGCTGCAGCGCGCTGTTCTTGGCCAAACGCGCTCTCAAAGACGGCATCGCCTCGTAATTGCTTCCAATGGGCGATCTGTGTGGTGCTGCATCGGGTAAAGAGGCGTTGCTTCCGCTGTACGAATTGAGCTTAGCAGACGATGCGCTGTTGGCGGCGGCGGAAGCTGTTGCTGCTTGGTTCGCCTTCATCACAGCCAGTTCCACATTGGCATCTGCAAATAATTCAGAAAAAACATGTTAGATTCCCTCTGGCTTGGGTCATACAGAAAACGAGCGAGTCCCCAGCGACAAAAAAAAAAAAAAAAGAGCCTCAGTCGTACCTCGCAACTCATCCTTCAAGCGCTGGACTTCCTCCGTGAGCACGGCCTTTGCAGAAACGTCGCTTTCCAGGATGGCGTTCTTTTCCACTGCAGCATTGTATTTGATCTCCAATTCCTGCAATGACCACTTGGTTGCCCTATTTGAACGTTGCGGACCAAACTCGTGGTTAGCAAACAAAGCAGACATGACTACGGCATGTGAAAAGACGGAGAAGAGGGTCATCGTTACCTCTCTGTTCTCTCAAGGTCGTCATTGTCCTGCTCCAGCGCCCGCTCCTTTTTGATAAACATCTCCGTCTGCTGCTTCAGCGTATCCAGTTGACGGGTGAGCTGGTTAATATTGGCGTTTGACTCTTTGAGCGCCTGATGGTACTTTTCCTATTTTCAATCACACGCGAAACATATTGAACTGTGTCAGATGTTTGTGTAAAATAGGAGATTTTCTCCTATTTACATGGTCTTTAGCCCGTTTTCTTCTCGGGATAGCGTACATGATGATCAATGCCCACAATTTGTCCCTGGTCCAAAACAAAACAAAACGTAATCCTTACCTTCCATTCCTCGATTTCCTGCCTCATAGAATCGTTCCGGATCCGGATTTCATTGTATCGTCGCTCTGTGGAATCAACTTCCTTCTCGAGCTCTTCTTCCAGTTCCTTGGACGACAGTTGAAATTCTTCTAGAGCGTCCCTGGTCTCCTGCAAGTCGTCTTCGACCTGTTTGGAATAGTTCTTGTAGTACTCGAGTTCTTCGGCCACACTTCCGAAGCTAATAGGGTAATGAATTGTATGCACGGAATTGTGTTGTTTTTAATACAGGATTCTTTTCTTTTCTGTTTGAGTTGAGGGTGCATATCCCACGCGAATGAGAGCTTGCATAAATTACGGATGCGGTATGCACAGGCATCCTGCAAACACTCAACGGACAACAGGCATACGGCAGTTACGTCGTGCATCTTAGCACACACAGGGTATATTTTTTTTTACTCCGCAAAAGAAAGGAGCGGGGGAAGACGTAAAGACGGGATGATGGCGGAAGGGTCATCGCTTTGCAGCACACAGGGGTCGCACACACAGGTAGCGTGGAAGTCAAGGGTGTCGGTGTACGAAAAAGGTAAAGCGGGATCAAAGAAGGCACAAGATCGCATTCAGAAACACACAGGGTCGGGACGGGAACGAACCATGCGCAATGTAATTGCAACTAGAAAACACTGCGACGTGCAATTGCCTCAGCAATGGTCTGATAGAGTAACACTTGCCTGACTTTTAAGGCTAAGCTAATATAAAATAAAAAATGAAGTGCAGCTAAAAGAGAGATGGAAGGACCCGTTTTAAAGCACGGAAGGTTTTTCTTTTGTTCTGCTCGGGCACAGCGATATCAGAAAACCAAAACCAAAACCAAAAAAAAAAAAAAAAAAAAAAAAAAAAGAGAAAGAGAAAGAGCGATGGGTTGTTTTGCCCAAAAAGGTACGAGAGCATCCTCTCCCCCCAAAGAGGATCGGGCTCGCCATCATCTTGCAAGCGGCTAAGGTAACGCCTGAGCACACCGACCTGGTCGAGTAGCCAGGGCCAGGGGCGGCAGATGGCGCCATTGTTTGTTTCGACAGTAAGGGGGGGAAAGAGGATAGCAATAAGACAATGGCCGGAAGAGAGCAATTGAAGCGAACAAAGGGGAGACAAAAGAAAGAACACTTTCCTCTTCCAGTGATGAATGAAAGAGCGATGCACCACCACCATCACCATCACCATCACCTTTATTTTTTTATTTTTTTTTCTTGATTTGGGAGAAAGGGACAGTTTACTGCAACTGCTGACTCACAACAAGCGTTGTTTGAACCACACCCCTCTTTTGTACACCTTTGTGTGTTCGTTTCCGTTTGCAAACAAAAAAAAATAAAAAAAAATGGGGTAACGAAATGGAACAGAGCTAACAAAGGTGTTTCGTGTATAACCCATTCCCTATTGCAGGAACGTGTGGTGGATGTATGCGAACCACATCTCGCTGAGAAGAACGTCATTTTTCACAGGAAAAAAACAACCAAACATGGAAGGAGGGGAGTAAGTGAAAGGGGAGAAGAAGGTGTAAGACGTGTACTGTGGGCTGATGATTCGATAAAATGGTATGGTGGATATGAGTGTGGGCATAGGGATGTATACCTTGGAGGATGCTGCGACATGGCTAGGATAGACTAGTCGAGGCTGCTTGGGCAAGAGAGTGAAAGAGAGGAGACAGCGAAAAGGGAAGGGGAGTGGGAAAGAGAGTGGAAAGAAAGGATAGCTTTCCGGCGCAGGTTGAATGCAGGCAAAAGAAAGAGGTCGATGAGTGAGAGAGGGATGGCGAAGTGGAGAGGAAGGGGGAGGAGAAAGAAGAGAGGTAAAGAAAGAAAGAGGCAAAAAAACAACGTGGGGTTGGGCGAGGGTTTATTTTATTGTTTTATTGTTTTATTGTCTTGTGTGAATGCTCCGATAATAACACCAAATGGTCTAGCAGGCAGGGTCAGGCACAGGATCAAGAACACGGCAAACTGGAGGCAAAGAAAACAAAAGATGTTCCCTACAATCATGCTATCCCCCAGGGCATATTTACCTTCACTCCTCGACGAACCTGTCGAGGTGGATACGTCTCTCGCTCGAAGCTGCAATCGACGATCCAACATGTTTAACACTCATTTGTCCTTCGTCTCATTTTTCCATCAACCATGGAACCGGCCAACATTACCTTGGCCATTCTCATCCCAAAACGATATCTCCCTTTCGCCACTACCATTCATTGTTAAGGCACTCTTCCTTATTGAGGATCAATAACAGAGAACAGATGAAAAAGACGAATGCTTTCCCAATGGCTGCCCAATGGCTGCCCAATGACTGTTCCGTGGATGTGGATGTATGTAGTGGGCAATTATTGTCGTTTAGTGATAGATTGGTTTGAAACATCCGAAACCAGGAACAGGCACAAAAAACTCCCTTAAAGATCTGCCACTTTGTGTGCGATATATGTCAGACATATTCCTACCATAAGATCTTCAATGTTCCTCTTGCTGTAATTAACAAAGGCAGCAAGTACACAGGCGCCTAGTCAATCTACCAGTGTTGCCTGTGGTTGACCTATGGCCGCTATTATCCTTCTGCAGCTTCGTGTCGCAGACGGCTACGGACAACGATTGCGACTATAGTATCTTCATATGCCATAGTCATCTTCCTCGCCGGAATTTCAGCCTGGGAGATGAAAGAGACTGCAGATCTTTTCGCTTTGTTGCCAGTTTGGGAGAGTGCACAAATAAGGGGGGAAGGCTGAAGACCAACAGGAGAGAAGTCGTTGACCAAGGATCATTATGCAAAAGGAAGGGATTCGACTAGCATATCCTAGTCGTCCTCCATGGCTGTCTTCCTTGTTTTTCGCTGCCAAACGACTGATCCAGTGGGGGAGGCACAGACGGATAGGAGTACGTGCATTGATAATAGGACTCCTCCAGGGACTGAAGGATACTCAAACATGAAAAAACTTGAATAGGATATGTTGGTGGCTTGTGCTACCTCGCTCGGAGGAATGGGTCCAAGGATGCAACCATTGCGAGCGAGTCTCCAATCATAGACTAAACCCCTCCACATCCCCCCCTCCTCTCTCCTCTTCCCCCTCAACATCCACTTTCATCGCCACTATGTTGAAGTCCATTGGCGTGTCAAAGGGTAGGGACAGCTTGCAGGAGGATCAACTCTCAGGATGAATACCGGCCCTGGCAACCTCGGAATTGTCGGAACACTTGCTTTTAGCACTTGCAAACATCCGGATGTGGGTTCGGACATCCGCGTTGACCGTTTCTAAGCATGGTTCACTAACCGCATAACTGTCAATTCTATTCTTTCCATACGCTATTCATGTTTCCGCGAATGCATCATAAACACGATGCTGTGGAATCTCAATTCTGGACTACGGATCAAAAACGCCCGGAATATATTCAATCCAACCCCCTTTTTCAATACAGCTTTATTGACGGGAGCACAATCAACCCGCACCAATGTGGCCAGGTCTGCCGTGCGTGCTTTTGCGACCGAGGCGCCGTCCAACCCCGTCCCTCCTGCCAGAACCAGCTTTGGTAATCTCAAGGACGAGGACCGCATTTTCACCAACATCTATGGATTCCACGATTACAAGCTGAACGGCGCTCTTAAGCGTGGAGACTGGTACAAGACTAAGGAAATCTTGCTCAAGGGCCACGATTGGATCTTGAACGAGATGAAGGAGTCTGGACTCAGAGGACGCGGTGGTGCCGGTTTCCCCTCGGGATTGAAGTGGAGCTTCATGAATAAGCCCTCGGATGGCCGGTAAGTAGCCTTAGGCCACGGAAACGAAACGCTGCTGAACAAACATATCAAGGCGACAGGGCACATTCATGGTGGCAGCAAAAGTGAAAGATGGATCGCGTGGATGCTCCGAAACAACACGCTGAAGCGACTCATAGCGATGGCGGACCAAAACATAGACGCTCAGTTTTTTTTCTGGGCCATCCAGCCGAGTGCCGTCATTAACTGCTCTGAGTTGACTTTTTTTTTTGACAATAGCCCTCGTTATTTGGTCGTCAACGCCGATGAGGGTGAGCCCGGTACCTGCAAGGATCGTGAGATCATGCGCGGAGACCCTCACAAGCTGGTCGAGGGATGCTTGGTCGCTGGACGTGCCATGAATGCCAACGCCGGTACGTTAATCAATCGATCTGGACGCTGTTCACATGTTGCAGCATTATCCGGACATGAAACTGGTCGTTCTGACACTATTTTATTTATCGTATTGCATAGCTTACATTTATATCCGTGGAGAGTTCTACAATGAGGCCTCCAATCTTCAGGTCGCCATTAACGAGGCATACAAGGCTGGACTGATCGGCAAGAACGCTTGCGGATCTGGATACGATTTCGATGTGTATATTCACCGCGGTGCTGGAGCATACATTTGCGGAGAAGAAACTGCTTTGATCGAGTCGATCGAGGGCAAGGCTGGCAAGCCCCGTCTGAAGCCTCCATTCCCTGCCGATGTCGGTCTTTTCGGCTGCCCCACGACGGTCGCCAATGTCGAGACCGTTGCTGTTGCGCCCACGATCTTGAGACGCGGCGGCAAGTGGTTCGCTGGATTCGGTCGTCCCCGCAACGCTGGAACAAAACTGTTCTGTATCTCGGGACACGTCAACAACCCCTGCACTGTCGAGGAGGAGATGTCGATTCCCTTGAAAGAGCTGATTGAGAAGCACTGTGGAGGTGTCAAGGGCGGCTGGGATAACTTGCTCGGAATTATTCCTGGAGGATCTTCGGTCCCGGTCTTGCCTCGCCATATTTGCGACGATGTGCTGATGGATTTTGATGCGCTTCGCGATGTGCAGTCTGGTTTGGGAACTGCGGCTGTGATTGTGATGGACAAGTCGACGGATATTGTGTCGTCGATCTCGCGTCTTTCGGCGTTCTACAAGCACGAGTCCTGTGGACAGTGCACGCCATGCCGTGAGGGAACGTCGTGGTTGGCGAACATGATGCATCGCTTTGAGCATGGTCAGGCGCGTCCTCGCGAGATTGATATGATTGAGGAGCTGTCGAGGGAGATTGAGGGACACACTATCTGTGCTTTGGGAGATGCGGCCGCATGGCCTGTCCAGGGATTGATTCGCCATTTCCGCCCGGAGCTGGAGGCCCGCATGGCTCAGTTCAAGCAGGAGGCCCAGGTTCAGGTTTAAAGAGCAAGGGTAGATGAAGGCGGAAAAAAATAACGCGAAATACCTATATTTTTACGATGGAGCGAAAGGACACGGAGGAATGAATTCAAGATAGACCCCCCTCACACTATTCCCACAGTAAAAGACTATTACTACACAGAATGGATTTCCTATGTAGCACAGCGACGGCCTCAGAATAACGGCGGATCGATCGTAATTTCCTTTTCCGAGCACGGCTGAGCTTGCTTCGCTTGTTTTCTTTGTTCCATTGGATCAGGACGAATCGAATCGGGACCAGACCACAACCAATCATCCGAACACAACAGCACATCGCCATGTCGTCAAGCATCGGAGAGAAATGCACAAAGATCAAGCAGGAGTACGACAGCTGCTTCAACACATGGTACTCTGAGAAGTTCCTCAAGGGCGACGTAACACCCATGTGCGATGAACTCTTTTTCAAGTACAAGGATTGCCTCTTGGTAAGGACCGGAACTTTTTGGTTGTCAGGGATAAGAAAAAAAAAAAAATATGCAGCAGTAGCCAATATCGACGGGGCATGGGTTCAATTGCATGGGATTGACCATCTGGTGGACCATTCACTGATGATATTTGCGATATTAATGTGGGGCTATCTTCTTGTTGTTTTTTATCTGGATCGATTCTTCTGTCTTTATCATTAGAAAACGCTGGAAGAAAAGAAACTGGATACATTGCTGGCTGACGCACGGAAGGATAACCCATTCCCGAACTCATCTTCGTCAGCTTCCTCGTCTGCGTCTTCATCCTCCGGATCAGAGTCCACCAAGAAGAACTAGACATGGACGGGGGGACATCTTTATAATAAAGCATCGCATATCATTGCAGTAAAACAAAAAAAAAAAAAATTGTCATTTTCTTAGCTATGGATTAGTTTCCCTCTAGGAATGAAAAGAGAGAAGTGCTTTTGGCTGGGTATTATTGCTGTAAAAGAATTTGTTTCCTTTACTTTTGTAAGAAGGAACCGAATAGATCAAGGAACAGAGCAACGAAGCGTGCAACAAAAAAAAAAAAAAAAAGCCAATCTCCTTTTGACAATCCTTTTCAATGGTCCCTTCTATTCATTTTTGGTGGCAAAAACCTGGACACTCAATCGTGATATGGAGCGAAAATGCACGAAAATCCGTTGCGTTCACACACACATACACACACTTCAACATAGCTCTTTCAAATCGTTCATTGTCTTATCTGGGATCGAATGGAGGCTCGTAGTCGTTCACACGTCGTGACCAGAGGTCGAGACGGCATGAAGGGGAAAAACCACACGCTCCTGGCGGATGATGACACCATCGCGACAGGATCTATGCACGGAGGGGGTAATCGGAATTCTGGTTCAGGTACGGGCTTGAGCGGTGCATGATGGATATACACGACCTTTGTTTTCATTCTCTGATATCCCTGCGAGGTAAGTAATTTTCTAGACCAGATTAAGGTCGGTTTGTACGTGGGAAGCTGGTGTTTGAGAGCTAGGTTTTGATTATGAGGTGGGGGGAGGGTGCGCATCGGGAGGGCCGTGTGTTGTGGTACAGCATTGGTCTACTTTCTATCCACATGTACCAACCAAGGGGATGCTTGACTTGATCCCTGCGTCCTTTTACTGCCCTTTTATTTAGAGTTGAGCTCTGCCGGGTGAGGCGAGGCTGACGGTGGATATGTCAAAGGGGCAAGACGAATGAATTAGAGCAGAGACAGAGGTGTGTAAATGAGGACAGCAATGAGTAATATGCGGACATATTTTTATTAGGACGCCTTGGTCTGGTCGTTTTTCGGCATCCGATCATATTATTTACATGGAGATTGAACCTGTTAGTATTGAACGTTACATCCGCTTATCGGCCTGTCTCTCCTACTGCAGACCCTACCTCGGAGACACTGTTCTCAGCATGGTCAATGCTCACCCTCGCCTCCCTTTTTCGGGGGGGGGGTCAGACTCTCTTTTTTTTTTTTGTTATTTTCATTACGTTTGGTGCTATCGGTCTTTCTTCTTTCGTTCATGCCTCTGATTTGATGATCAAGAAGATTGGTCGTAAATAGCGGAGCCGGGGTGAGAGGACAAGAGACAGCAAAGAGCAGGATGTGTGGAAGTCCCAAAAGAACTGGCATGTGCTGCAGACTCCTTTTTCTTAGGGTACGCTATACTGTTTACCACATAAACGACCGCCTACTGCCTGGGACTCTGCTGAGAGTAGAGTGCTCCTGCAATCTACATGGCTGGACCACCCTGGTGGTCTACTTTTGGTCAAATAAGCATGGGCACAAGTGGAGAGGGGACATGGGATCATGAAGGGCAGAATAGGAAGGGGATAGGCTAGTAGAGAGTAGGGAGTAGAGAGTAGAGAGGAGTGGATAGGAGTGGATAGGAGTGGATAGGAGTGGAGCTGGAGGATCCGGGGGAGCAGGGTGCCAGGGTAGGGGGTTCAGTCGCTGGGGCGATCCAATGGGTTTTGCACCCGCATTGGCATTGGCTGGCTCAATTGAGTCACTTTATGGTTTTTTCTTCATATGACACGCAGACATGCACACATCTGATATGGCATATACAGTAGGCCAGTCAATTGAATCGAGTATAAATCGGATCCAATGCCCCCCAATAAGCGCCGTTATCGCCCTCTATCTCTCCTTCAAGACCCCTTCTTTTTCCTCCTCTTCACTCCATCTTTTGTCCTTCCTTCCCTCTTTCCCTCCTTCCTTTTCGTCTTTCTTCACCTCCATCCTCCCCTCTTCTTCTTCTTCTTCCTTCTTCTTTCTCCCTTTCTTCCTTTCTTTCTCTCGTCATCCCATCACCCCACACACCAGCCTTATCTCTTTTCCCTCCTTCCTTCCTTCCTTCCTTCCTTCCTTCCCTTCTTCCAGCAAGTCTTCGCAAGCACATTCAAGAAACCAGACCGCCACCAGCCATGGCCATGCCACGACTCCCAAACACCCTCCGGTCCTCGTTCGGACAAGGCGCACCCTCTTCTCTACGATCCAGCTGTTGCTCCTCGTCTCCGTCCTTATCAGCCTGCCCTGGATCTGCTCGCTACTGCTCCTCCTCGGCCTTGACCGCCACTCGGAACGGTCTCGTCGGTGCAACCAAACATACCACCACAGGAGCATCCGCTGCTATACCAACACCATCGTCAACAGCAACAGCGGCAACATCATCTAATGTCTCAATGCCAAATGTACTTGGACGGTGTCGGATCGTTATCAGGAATAAACATCAGGCAGCAACAACCACAAATACAACTACCGCCATTAGCCATGTCAACTCGACCCAGAAACGGTACAGTCATCTAGCCACGGCTCAGCACTCACCCTCACCACCACCGTCATTGTCTAACACAGCTCAACACCAGCAACAGGCTCAGCCGATTCATATGTCAGCCGCTGCGTTTCCTCCCGCCTCTTCCTCAAAAGGAGGCGCGGCTACGATCTCACCTCAGGCTTCGCCACTTTTCAGGATGAATAACCCAGCATCGATTGTCCACCAGCCTCAGCCGCGGAGACGCTACAGTCCACAGCACTTTTATCAGAACCGGATCCTGGATCCCTACGTCAACCAAGCCGTTAGTCCAATCACGCTGCGGCAGCTGGTCTTCTTTGGTCGGAATATGCAAGAGGACAAGCTATTGAAGTCTGCGAATTATGTCCGAACAGAGCTGCCTGTTCGTCTCGCTCATCGGATCCGGGATTTCCAGAACCTGCCCTTTATTGTCGGGACGAACCCCCATATCGAGTTGGTCTACGATCTGTACTGGCAAGCATTCGAGAAGATGAGCAAGATCCCCGAGATCAAGACACTGGAGGAGAACGATGCGTTTTGTGAGATGGTCAAGGAGCTGTTGAACGATCATTTGGTAGTGATCCCACAACTGGCGCTGGGGATAATGGAGTGCTCGAAGCATATTCCACCTCAGCAGGTCGATCGGTTCATGAACAAGATGTTGCGGTCGAGGATTTCGAGACGTGTGTTGGCGGAGCAGCATATTTCTTTGACTGCCAACTTTAATTCGCCAAACCACATGATGACGGACCGGGGCTATATCGGGATCATCTACACGCACTGCAGGCCTAGGGAGATTGTGGAACGGACGGCACTTCTGGCAGCAGAGACTTGTCGACAGGCCTCGGGAGGAATGGACCCACCAAAGGTCATGCTTGATGGCAACATCGATGCAGAGTTTTCCTATATCCCAGACCATATCGAGTACATCCTATACGAACTACTCAAGAACTCGATGCGGTTTGTTATGCAGAATGGTGTGCCCGATGCACGGACAGGAGAGTTGCCGCCGATCCAGATCACAGTCTGCGAGGGAACCCATGATATCGTCTTCAGGATCTCGGACAAGGGAGGCGGAATCCATCCGGACATGGAATCGCATCTGTGGTCGTATTCACAGTCTCCGGCACGGTTTGCGAACTTTGAAAAGATCTCGAAGATGGCGGCGACGGTGCAGGAGCAGATGGTCTCGCCGTCGAGGAGTGTGAATTCTGGATTCAGCGGCCACAACCGAGTCGCACAAGCGCAGGAGGTGAAGGGGCAAGACGATAGCGAGGGTATTACATTGCCACCACCACCAGCAACCCACAAGAGCTCGCCATCAACACTGCTGTTGGATCGCCATGCACCCCCTCGTGTCAATAAGTCCTCGTCGACTGTATCCTCGTCCAGTTCGTCATCGTCATCGTTCTCGACATCTTCTTCGCAACATGCGATCATTGATCCGAGTGAGAGTCGTGCAACGAACAATAAGCGTCCTCAGTACAAGGACCAGTCGATGCATCTGGGCATTGGTCTGCCGATGAGCAAGGTCTATGCGGAGTACTGGGGTGGCGATCTGAAGGTGTTCACGATGCATGGATACGGCACGGATGCGTACGCAAGATTCTGCAAATTTGGCAATATCTACGAGAACTTTGATGTCGAATAAGAGTACAGACATCCATTAGCATCGGCACGCACCTGAATAATTACATAATAGACATATACCAAAACATAGAACCAATTGGCATATCTTTGTAGGTGTGTCCATGCATGTACCCATGCGAGTTTGGGTGTTTTGTGCGGGGAGTGGGGGGTTCAAGGCGTGGACGCTTGAGATACAAAGAAAATGAGTTATCTGAATTTGATCTTTTTGGCGCCGCGTTTATCTACTTGCATACAATTTAATGCTATTCATGTACAGAACATCTGCGACGATAGCTTTTGATCCGAAATAAGTAAACAAATAGGTAGGTCTATTGAACTATTTATTAATGAGTTCTATCCAGGACATTATAATGCCGCGTAGGCAGAGGAAGGGAGGGTATGAGAGAGGTAATAGGAAACGGCGATGGAAATGATGAAGAAGGGAGGGAGGGAGAGGAGGGGGGGGGAGGGTTTTTACTTGGCCGCCTTGGTCAAATCCGCAATCTTGATCTTACCGAGATCATAGACCTCAAAATCCTTGGGGTACGAACCCTTGGTCAGCTTGCGCTGGGCGGCAACGACGATCTTATAAGTGCCACCGGGCAACTGCTTAGGCTCCTCAGCCGCGTTCTCGGTCGCAAAGACCATACCGGTCCAGACCCAAGGGTTGTAGTTCAGGTTACCGTTATCGTCGAGATCGGTGTCCCGGCCAAAGGCGCCAAAGGCATGTCCGAGGTTGATCGAATCCACGAATCCGACAAGCTTGTTCTGAGCATCATAAACACGAATGGTCAGGTCTGGAGAGTGCGAGCCCAAACGGGTGATGATCGTCGGGCGGTCGTTGACGAGGTCAAAGGTGAAGTCTCCCTTGGGGATCTCATCGAGGTTGCCGTCCTTGTCGGCGTTGAACAGCACGGGCAGACCGGAATCTGTGTCGAGAATAGGCACCTTGGCGATATCGCCCTTCACGCCCGTGTAAGGGACATGAACAGCAACGCCGCCCTTGGACTTGGGGGTCGCAATCACGTAGCCAGAGTACAGGGGGAACTCGTTCTTGTTGCCCTTCTTGGGCTCCTTGAAGGTCAAAGTGATCTTCGCGGTCTTGCCGGCAGGGATCTTAACCTTGTTAGCCGAGAACGAGACGGTCGCGTAATCGGCTTCGATAACAGGGGTGCCCAAAGGGAAGGTGTTGTTGGCGTTATAGGAGTTCAAGCCATCGGCAGCGATGTGCGAGAGCGTGTAGGTCTCCGAATGCTTGCCATGGTTCTTGATCTGGATTTTCACGGTCTTCTGGAAATGCTTCGAGTCGAGAAGATCAATGTGGTCGGGCGTGATCGAGGTCGTGGTCAGGATTGCTCCGAGGACGTTGACGAGACCGGCACCCTGCTTTGCGGCAGAGGCCTTGGTCTTGGAGCCCGAGAGGGTCGCGATGGTTGCCGTGTTCTTGAGAACCTTGCGGATGGCATCGCCATGGGGCTTGGCCTTCTTGGCCTGCATGTACAAAGCATGGGAACCTGCAATGTAGGGGGTGGCCATGGAGGTACCAGAGAGAACAGCATAACCGCCCTTGGCAAGAGGGTAGGTTGAGAGGATGTTGCCACCAGGGGCGGCAATATCGGGCTTGGAGCGGAGATCACCATCCAAACCGAACGAGGAGAAGTCCGAAGGAGCTCCACCACCCTCGACGAGGAAGTTCGAGGGACCCTTGCTCCAGGTGATGGCAGCGGTGGGGGTCTTCTTGTAGACGGCGATCAAATCATCGCCAGCCTTGTTCTCGATCGAACCCATGGGGAAGTCAGGGTTACCGCCCAAGGCAGCAATACCAATAGGAGTGGTCTGGATAAGCATACCAGCGGCGCCGGCATTGAGGGCATTGGCGCCACGTCCACCAGACTTGCAACGGGTGGTATCACCGAAGGTGAGGACAACCTTGCCCTTGACATTAAGTCCATTGTAGATCGTGGGGTCGCATCCATCAGAGAGCGAACCATCCTTTTCAAAGATAGGGAGCAAGGTGGCACTGGCAGGCAGGTTGATGATCTGGTTCCAGGCCTGAGAGGGAGCATAGGGATGGGAAGCACCTCCGTAGGTGAAGGAGTTGTAGAAACCGTAGGCGTTGTCGAACGAGGCGACCGAGCTGGCAAGGTCGCCGAGACCGGTGTCGGCAACCATCCAGACACCGTTGGCACCCTCATTACCGGCAGCGGCGGCCAGGGCCATACCACGGGCAATCAACTTGTCAGCGAGGACAGCCGTGGGGTTGGTCTTGTAGGCTGAGCCAGCACTGAGGGACATGTTAATGACCTAAAAAAAAACGGGCGATGCAAATATAAGAGGGGGTTATTTTTTTTCCTGGACGTTACAAAAAAAAAAAAAAGGGTTCATAGACGATTATGCAGGAGAGCAGTTTCTAAAAAAGCGCGAGCTCAGACTTACATCCATGCCGTCGTTGAAGGCCAGCTCCATGGCAGCAAGGATAACATCATCACCAGAGGAACCGTCGCATCCAAAGACGCGGTAGGCACCAAAAGTGACCTCGGGGGCGACACCGACAAAGGGCTGTGGAGGTTTGGGACCAGTCTTGATGTTCAGGGCATTACCACCGACAATACCAGCAACATGAGAACCGTGTCCCTGGCAATCCATGGGATCACTGTCGGGTTTGGGAGTGTTGGAACCAGTGTAGTCATCGCCGACAAAGTCCCAACCGTACTTGACACGGCAGTTCTTGCCATAACGAGCAAAGCATCCCTCGCTGGCGCCTGGGGCCGCAAAGGCAGGGTGCTTGTAGTCAACACCGGTATCGATGATACCGATCTTGACACCCTTTCCGGTCAACTTGTACTTCTTGTGGACAATATCGACTCCTGTCATATGATGGAGCGAGGTAACCTCCGGATCCGTAGGCTTCTTCTTTGACTTTGCAGGCTTAGGGACCTTATGAAGAGTAACATGCCAGACGTTCTTGACCCCTGGAATCTTGGAAAGGGCCTCACCCTGGTGACCAGAGTTGACCGTAATGGCGGCACCGTTGAAGACGTTGTATTCGTTTCGGACCTTGTACTGGACCTTGTGGGCCTTGAGGGAGTTGTGGGCATCAGAGTGGCGGATGTTGTCGTGATACTCGATGATGTAGGCATTGGGGACGATGTCGACCTTGCCGGGCTTCACGGCGTGGAACTTGCCGGCAGAGACCATAGAGGCCGCTGCGAGGGCGGAGAGGATGGTGGTGATCTTCATGGTGGGAGATAGAACTTACCGAATGATGATGGCGATGATGGGGAACGGAGATGGGCAAAGGAAGGAGAGTGTAGTTGAGAAGCTTCTGGGGTAGTGTGGTATGTGTGCCTGTTAAAGACTGGAAGGGGGTGGTGTCGGGTAGACGGAAGGGGTTGGGTAGTGGAGAACGAGGTTGGAAGGGGATGTGTGCGATTTAGAATTGAGGGAGTTCTAGATGAGGAAGTTCTAGATGAACTAAAGTGCGATGCGAGGTGAGCGAGAGTATTTATATATCCTTCAGGAAGTTGGCCGATGGCTCTATCTACTCTTTGGATACGGATGACCGTTATGTGCTGTACTATTGAAACTACTTTTGAAGACCCACTAACGCATGCACTGAGCGAACTCTCTCTGGATGAGGATGCCGTTGTTCAAGGTGTTTATTGTTTACTCAGAGCCCTGGGTATTTTGGTGATCATCCCATGTAGCCTGCATAGGCTTGGTGGATTAAAGGATAAGCCGCGTTTGTGTTTTCAACAATTTTTTATGGAATCCTGGGTAAATTGTCCCTACGACTTGTGAAGTACCAAAGTAGGATTTTGGCCCTCTTGCGTTGGAGATGGGTGCACAAGCATACGGACTAATTCCTCCGTGGGCCAATCGCGTGAGTAAACTACCTTGTGTTTGCAGAGCCTCGGGTTAGTTGACAGTACATGTAGAAGGTGGGAAAAGCCAAAGAGATAGGGCTCAACAGCTCCTCTTTTGAAAGAGCCTCTTCTCGCGTAAAAAAAAAAAACAGTAACAAAACAACTGTTGGCCTTAAGATGCTGGGAAAAGAGAGAGCACACCATAAGTCATCAACAAGCATTGAACAAATTGGTCCAACTCACCTCCCTCTTCTTGTTTATGTTTTTTCTTTGGCTGGAGACACAACAAAATTAACGGCGCCAACCAAACAGCACATTAACGGCGTTAGGAAAAAAGCAACAGCATTGGCCTGCTCAAAGGAGTTCTCCGAATCCCTGTTATCCTACCATTCCCCCGGTAACGAGCACTTCGAAATAAAAAATAAAGAAATAGCGCCCAAATGAGTATTTTTCGCTCCATGTTGCAATCCCTCTATCCAACTCGGTTCTTGCGCCATCGACGTCCACAATCTTTTGCTCTGCATCCTCACGATATTTTTTTTTTTTTTTCCTCCAAGTGCAGCAGTTGCTCACCACCACTACTACTGCCATCACCACTAGCGCTTTTTTTGTGTGAGTGTTCTTGACCTTATTTGTGTCCATGCTCGAATGTGCTCCACTATATTAGCTTCTTCCGTAGAATTCCATGGCCGAGGCGCGTTTGATGCAAGGGTGCTCTTTCTGCCCTTTGTTTATTTTACCGGGGGCATCCTTCAGAATAAAACAAACTTTAGCCCTGATGAGAAAAAAAATGGATAATTCTCTACCATATTGACCGTTGGTGGGCCTAAAGTTTCCCCCAAGAAATAGAACAGAGGACTAATGCATGTGGAACATAGACTAGCCTTATTTGAACATGTAGTTTGTTTCTATGTTCTTCAGAAATGCGTTGCGTTGTCAACACAACCACAATTAATATAATCACAAACGACTTTAACGAGCATGAATGTATGTTTATTGGGGGGGGGGGGGGGGGGGGGGGGGGCGGGGGGGAGTCAGCGATGAAGACACGTTCCTTCTCACCGGCGCTTGTCTGCAGCATCATCGATTGCCCTTTTTTTTTTTACAGACAGACTCTTCCTCGGATTCATTGTTTGCGTTATTGCACTGGTTAGACTATGTGCAGCGGAAAAAATATAATCTATGATCTGGTCCAAGTCGCGTCTCCCAGAATCAAGCCTACATGTCTGTTCTAGGATACTTAATAGTTCTCGTACAAGACTACGACGTGTTGGTCGGACAAAGCTCTTATGCTACCCGGCGA